CCCTGGCAAATATTCTCCCTATGTATAGCCAGCGTAGTTAGTCTGGTAGAGACTACCGGATTTAGGCCATGCCTACCCTTTTATACGAATCGAATCAATTTGAATTGAAAGATCACGTCCCGATCCACTTTCAAACCTCAGCCAACCACCAGCCAACCACCAGCCAACCATGGCCGAACCTCCCATCCACACCCGGTTGATGGAAACATTTAGAAACATTCGGCTGGCGCAGCAAAACAGTTGCCGACCACCAGCCGACCTTGCCCCCAACCTACTCCTAACCATGGTTGGGGGGAGTTCGGCAGTGTTGGGGAGGCCATATTTGGCTATATGTGACAGAGGCTTAAAGATATCTGTCATTATTGCAACACACATACAGCACTACTCATTGGTAGTAGCGTTACTACTGTCTGTACATGTATGTGTAAATGTTATGGCATGTAACACTTATGTACACCATAGAGTATGGCGCCATTGAAAATGCTACGGATCGTTACACATGCCTCTCTACCCTACCCTTGTCATTGATGCAGTGACGGCAGGATAGAGTTAGGTATAAAAACCTATACGCTGTGCCAGATGGCTTAACGTTACTTTCAACAAGTCTAGCGTTACAAATGCTAGCCAAATAGGATAGATAGCGACACAGCGATTTACTGTTGAGGTGGCGGCGCGGTATTATTCGGCTGTCACCGTATTCTGCTCTTCCACAGCCTGATACAGCCCACGTAATCCGTACTAATGTCAGATAGGGCAGAATGTATGACGCTGCATATCGTGATGAATTGGTCATACATTAAACATGAGGGGTAAGGTAAGGCGAGCGGGCGGGCACACGGTAGCTTGCGCGGCGGCTGTACTGATACTAGTGATAGCCGAACTCCCCTTACACCTAGCCAGAAAGGACGTTCAGAACACATGAATCTTTACCAGATAGACTTCTCTTCCAACAGACATGCCTGTCTGGAACACTGGTGAGTACGTATTAAGTTTTCCACAGATTCCTCTGTTTCTCGAATAGTGAGAAAATATGGTGGGTTACGAAATAGCTCGATAGGAGGAAGAAAATCGCTACAAGCAAGCTGCTATGTATGTAGAGTAAAACAAACATCATGATTCCAAGGGGAAATGCTGTATTGCCTTCAGCAATTTTTATACGAAATGCCTTAGAATTGATATAGGCTGGAAAACGCAGTATGATGAAGGTATTTGGTAATGCGTATTTCATGTTGGGATATACCCAGTGATGCTTTCGCTTGCTGAATATGCCTCTAAGTACCCAGGTTGGATGCCATCCAATTATTCGCCTTGTTAATGAACGTAAATCGTATGAAATGGCCCGCGCTCCCTTCGTTAGTTAAATAACGCGTGTATTAATTTAATGGCTTGGAATTAATGACAAGTGAATGCGCGAATATGCAAGGTAAACATCGTTACCCTATTCTCAGTCCAAACACGTTGTATAGTACTTTCGCGGCAGCATTTATCGTAGATTGGTACCTTTTGTTGAATTGAAAATCATCGTCTCTTGTGGGAATTTTTATGGGGCGAAGATTGCGGGGTTGGGATGGGTACAGGGTGTTATTTGTTTGCTTACAAAAATTGCAGTGAAAAAAGTATCAAGAGAAAAAAATGGCCCGTCATTCGATGCTGTTTTCTCCAGTGCACAGCAGCTACCGTTCTATGTGAAATCCAGTGCCTCGAAAGAAGAAGTCAAACCCAGCAAATCTAGTAACATGTATATTGTAGAATGTAGTATAATGTTAGACGCAGTCTCTCTTACCATTGTATTTTCTTTTGTTCCTACATGTTCTTTGTACTGGCAATTAGCCATTGGCTATGTATTTGCAATAAAGTTTTTATCATTATTAATTCTAAAAAGATAGTTTGCATGTTCTAGAGTCACAATAGACAAGTGGCTATCAATCTATCAATTTATTCCATCATCTACTCCAATGACGAATGGTTTTAATTTAAGTTTTACTCCAATTTCGCTGATTGCTTCATAATGGTAAGGTTGTTGACTCCCGTGCATGTTATTACTAGGACGTAATTAATGAGCATTTTCTGTTAATGTTCAGAAATATTGATAACAAGGTTTCCCTGAAGTCTCACAGGGCCATATTCTCGGAGAAATTAGATTTTATGACCGTAGCATTCATCAATATTAAGAGTAGTCTAATGAGTCAGCGATACGGCCCCGGGCGTTTTTATACGGGGGATACATTACAGCTTTCATAGTTCCCATCTATGGGTTTTTATAGGTCTTGCCTTTTTACTGGGTTTGTTTGTTTGTTTATTGTTTGTTTATTAGATCTCCATTAGATTTACATGAAATCTATTCTTCCTGGAGTCACAAAATTACACTGAAACAAATGTACAGAACAGAACAAAACAAATGTACATGAAAGTAAAACCAACATAACAAAAGGTGTGAGTCTTAATCAAAAAAATAACATAACGCACACAACATTAACTGAAATCTGAACTTAAGTGAAAGGGGAGAGGTGTCGTTTTTCGAGCGTGCATAACTTGACAGCCTTTGTAAAGCACCAAAGCTTCGCCAAATTCTGTTAGGGATGAAACATCGCATTGCCTCCGGCTTATCAGTCATTTCCACATGTGGTTCCTAATGCAGTGTGGAAAATTAATGTTCACACAGCGAGCCGCGAGGCTTCGGTGGTAGGAACCTCCGACTCCTCACATAATCTCTGCTGTAAGGCTGTGTGTGTTTTTAAAAGTTTACCGAAGGAAAATATATTGTTTTTGCTATTTTTCCTCTTCTTCTTCTCTAAACCAATAAGGTCAATGACCTGAACCAGACGTCTGTCACCATGGTAACTAGTGTTGGGTTACATCATGTTGCAATTTTATAGCAGGAGGGATTTAGCCTCTTGTCACCATATATATGAATGTGTTTGAGTAAGAATTAATAGAGCAGGCCATCTGTGAAGGTAAACAGTATTGTAAACAGATTGTGCTACGCTTACTGTCAACTATAACAGCATCCATTTGTCACCGAAAAATAAACAATGAATCAGAGCCTTGTCTCCCCTTTTCATATTTATCTGCCATCAACGTTCCGGCATGGCAACAGACGTCTTTGTCCAATATCGGCATGTTGATCACTGTCAGAGGGCAACAAAATATTTTTTTTTTCCAAATCAGGTGAAAATTAATGCGCGCGCTGATGCCATCCATAAAAATTACTTGCTGTGGCCTAATCTCCGCTGTTAAGGCTGCGTGTTTTTATTTTATTTTATGGTCCAGACACAGAAGCCTGTCCGCCTCTGACAGCGTTTCCGAACTCGGACTTGTAAATGGCGTTGATCTCGTAAACGACTCGTCCCAAATTACGGCGATAATTACCGTGGCAGGACTCAATGGAGGTAATAATGTGAACCTCTCGTTTCGGCCCGATAAACAACGTTGGTAAGTAAGGCCTAGGAAAAAAAACGTTGTGTTTCCTGTTTCAGTCCTGAGGGATTATCTTTTTTTTCCTTTTTTTTTTAGACTTCAGTGATATCTGTATAGGAGTCAGGGGTCCAACTTATACAGTACAGTTTAACAAAGTAAAACTTGCATGCGGACACTTTTTATTTTCAATATCAATGTTAGAAAACCAACTGTACAACGCTTTGTCAGTAGCACTAGTATAGCATGGAGCGTCATGGAGCTAGAAAAGGTTAACCAGCTCGAAAAATGTATATCCCTTGCAGGCGTCCACCCCCCCCCCCAAATAGAAGTCTAGGGTAGGCAGGTTTTTCTAGGGTCGGTCGGGAAACAGGAAACACAACATTTTTTCCTAGGCCCATATGCCACACGCTGATTGATTTTTGACCTCCGTGAGATATTGACATTTGATACTGCAGTATGAATCTTTCTAAGGCATTGAGCTTGAGGAAATATTAGGTAATAAATGTACCTCACATGCTGAAGCTGATTCATGCACAGTGGCAATGATATATTGGCCTGCCATTACAATGTGGCTTGCCATTGCAACCTACAGGGGGTGTCGCTGGAAGACAGACGGAAAATGTCCAGACTGTGCATGATGTACAAAATGACAACAAACTGGTGGACGTACCAATAACTAATCCAGTCCAGAACACCAGCCGACCAAGATTGGCTGAAGTTCGGGAGCAGTCTGACCAGATTAAGACCTCACCTACCTTTCTATATGAATCAAATCGAATTTGAGTCAAATTTGACTTCAGGAATATCCTCTCTTTCCCCCCGCAGATAGAGCTATCATGTGATCGACGATGCACCGAGACCCCCTGATGTTTAATCATCACGTGACCGAGCACGTCACCGAGCACCCGGATGTGTCATGGCCGCCACCCCTGGCCACGACCTTGGCCACAGTAGAGAGGCCCAGTCGTCCGACCTTGGACATCTTTGGGGGAAGATGTCAGCCTCTTAACCCCAGGAGCCTCATCATAAGGTTTGTTGGTCAGGTTTTGATGACTATCAAAATGCAAAAATAAGTAAACAAATAAGGAAGTTTATTTTGCACTAACTTCATGCCCGGAGGCTAATTGCAACATGACAATTGATTATTCTATTCAGAATACAATCTTAACTTTTTTGGTTTGACTTTTTGGAAGCTGTGGCAGCCGACGTGTCCCACAAGCGAAATATTAGGAAGATTCAAATGTATCTGGAACTCAATGGTGAGTTAACTGTATCATAAATGTAGCGAGGAAGGCTCTGGGTGAGGGAATTCCCTAACCACAAACCACAAAACGTCAGACACAGGAAGTAAGGTCCTAGAAAAATCAAAACGTTAACGTTGGTCGTGACTCTAGCCAAAGGGAAAATACATATTATATAGACGTAAAAAAGAAACATTAGGTATGTAGTTTCAAGTGCTACCAACTGACTAGTCCAATGGGTCACGAACCTTTTAGCCTAGTGGCTGTATGTCCGCCAGGAATTTTCGTGTTTCTACCCGCCCGTAGTGTTGCAGTATGTGAAAATTTCCGATTTCTTGTTGGATGTTTCAATACTGTTATTCTTCTGATCGTTCCAGCACCCCGGAGACAGAGGACGTGCCGTTGACCAACATCGGCAGCCTGACACCTCTGAAGGAACAGAACGAGCGGGACAGCGGGTTCCCCTCCGAGTCCGACATCTCTCTGTCGTCCTGCGCCACTCCGCTGTACCCTGGCATCTCTCCATCCTCCAGCACTGCTCCTCTTCTCGGGGACTTCTCAAGGTCATCCACCTGTCAATCACTGGGAGAATGCCTCTCAAGGTCGTCCAGTTCCACGCCTCTGATTGGCGGAGAGAGCGCGTCGAGAGTCGCGCCGCTATTGGGAGAGGTCGCGCCTCGGTCGGCGAACTCCGACTGCGACATCGCGACGACCGCGCAGGACAAGTCGTGTTTGCTGCCGAAGTCGTCTAGTACGACTCCCCTGTTGACGGATCTAGATCGGGACGATTCGGGATACTCTCTTGACTGCCAGCAGACATATCACAGCCAAACGTCTTCGTGTAAAGGTGCACAGGTGAACCTCGGACAGTCGGCGTCCTGCGACGCCATAGAGGAAACCTGCGGGAAGGAAGAGCCGACAGACTTCACAATACCTCCAGGTAAGATACAGATGTGCCTGAAGCCCCTGTTTATACACATAGCCAAATGTGGCCTCCCAAACTCCCCGTTGTCTAATCTCCGAGCAGATCTTTCGGTGAGGGTAAGACAGTGTCAAATTGGCCAGTCTGTATCCATTTGCCAGACAGTATCCATTTTCCCACCGAAGCTAATGGACACTCCTCTGGCCAATGGATACTGTCTGCCACCGTATGATCTGCTTGGAGATTACCGTTGTCCGGTTCGCCAAATAGATACAGGTTTCCTTTTGTTTCTGATATTCACGATAGCCACTTTAGAGGCTTAAGTACCCTGCCATTCATGTCTAAAACTCAGATGACTTTTGATACTTTTTTCTGGCATAATTCCATGTTATAAGATGCCAAGGCAACCAAGCCGCCCTATTACTAGTACTGTCCTTTGCTATACACACCATCTGTTTCTGCCCCCCCTCCCCCAGACTTCGAGCGAGTGTACGAGGAGTGGCAGGGCTCTGGAGGCGCCCCCCAGCGGGAGTACGTCAACAACGGCTTCGACAAGGTTTACGACCAGGTATATGACATCAGCAGTATCGTCACGGTTAGTGAGGACGTCATATACTGTAATTCCTGATTTTTTCACTGCACTGTTATGTTGACTGTTTTCACTGTCACTTCTGTACCGTGATCTTATCATTACAGTTACCAACTTTTCTTTTTCCTGCACCTGTCGCCACCGTGAATATATAGTTCCGTGGTCAGCATGAAAGTTCATCTGAGTTGGTCAGCATGAAAGTTCATCCGAGTGCTGCATATACGTATACAAGGCCAGGGCGAGTAGGATATTATTGTGAAAGAGACAACCTACTATCATCTTATTTTTCCGATTGTACCAAGAATATTTCTGTTTAATAGCGTGTACCATTGAATCCGAAATGTTCGTTGTCATTCTGGCCCATTTATTCATTTCTTGGGCCCTTTTCAATTTGCTCTGAGGCGTATAGAAACACATTAGTACTGTTTCGTCCTTCCCGTCCGCCCATGCACATAATTTATCTCCCAGATGCAGAAGTATGTAAGTTATAAGTTGTAAGACTGGGGGCTAATTCTGTTGGATACGTGAAAAGAAGCAGACATTCATCATATATTAGCCTGCAGGGTTTGGAACGAAGAAAACGGTGGTTGATGAATGTAGCGTATCTTCGGTAGTCCCGCCTGGGGCGAATACTGACTTTTACCCTTTCCTGGCATCTTATCACAAAATAAAAGCTGACATTTACTCAGTATGGCTTCATTTCCAAAGGAAAAAGGTGCGACGTACAATCCTACATCGCTGTCTCATAATTCACTGCGCTACTCGGATATGTTCCGAATTTCTATGAAAGGGGTGCAAGTGTTACGGGAATGATAACAAACCTACGGTAAATGTCGCTGGAAGACAGACGTAGAATGTCCAGACTGTGCATGATGTCCAAAATTACTTAATATAAACTGGTGGACATACTACTAAGTATGTAATACCAGCCCAGAACATGAAACAGCCATGCCTTCAAGATTTCAGGTGATAAAAAAAATCGTATTTTCCAAGAACTATTTGAAATCGTAGAGTGGAACTTGTTGTCACCACTGCACGAAATGTCGAATTCACCAATGGTAGTAATTGCCAGTAAAGTCTGGTGATATTTACTCTGTAGACCGTACTGGAACTAACATTAGTACCGTAGTAAATGAAACTACCGGACTTGAACTACCAGGATGGTTAAGTTTGGTACTATGTACCAAAGTAAGAATTACCCCACTTCACTGGCATTGACTACCATTGGTAAATTCTAATCTCCAAAGCAGATCCCTCTCGGTGGCAAAAAGACAGTATCAAATTGGCCAGGCAGTATCCATTAGCCAGAGAAGCTCCGCGGCCACCGACGGGTGGTGGGGATCAGGACAAAAAAACGGCCAGAAATAAAAAGGTAACGATTATTCCCCCACAACCTCTGCTTGGAGAGTAGTAAATTCGACTTTTCGAGCAGAGCACCAAGTTCAGATTTTCCATGCCGAACGAATTTTTCTGACGCGCGCCCGCTCCTCTAATTCCCCACAGCGTACATATACTTGACACAGGCATTGACACATGATCAAGTACGCTAGAAATCCTATGAATAACTTGTGGCGTCTGGAAAGAGTGATCTCGCCACGAGAGGTGCATTTTGCCTGTAAGGCCACACCAAGTAAATTTTATGGATGACGTCCACGCGCGCATTGATTTTGGCATGTTCCTTGAAAAAAAACAAGAAATTCCGCTTCCTGTAACTATGACCAAAGAGTCACGACAGTGCCCCAAATCGTCAGATTGACGAGAAACCCGTAACGCGAAAACAGGACAGGGCGACAACTGCTGTTCCACCTGATTTATTACTGTTTTGATGATGAATAAAAGACTTCTTGCTTGTTACACTGTGTCACCTCATTCAATTTGTGTCCTAACATTTGTCGTCTCTTAGTATATTTCTAATTTAGGCATCTTGTTTTTAGGGCCCTTCTTGTTTTTTTTTCGCCCACTCGCATTAGATTTAGGGTCTCCAAAGGACGTCATCCATAAAATTTACTTGGTGTGGCCTAAAGAGCGCCGCGTATCTTGATGTGAGAATTGCCGGGTTGATGGATTTGTTGCTGGCCGAGAGGGGATTAGCGTTTGATCTCGCGCCTCTGATCAGATACATCCTTGAAAGCCCGCTAAAATTGCATACATCTATCACGACACACCACGCAAATACAGTAATAAGAAGAACTTTATTGCACGACAATTGCACATGGTACAATGTATGGCAAACTACATAAAGAGAGTAACAACAATAAAATAAGTGTGTTGAATAAGACCTAATGTCGAATAAAACCTAACATATCTATATCATAATCATTCAAATAATAAGGGATATAGTCTTTGATAAAGTGTTACAGTCGAGTGGGCTAATCACAAGTTTCGGTATTTTTTCTAATAGCAAAGCATTCCTTTATATATATATACTTTTTTTGCGTTGTGGGGACCATTACATGTAAAGATATATTCAAATCTGTCTCCAACATCGAGACTCTTAAAATCTTATATATTAGTGTCCTCTCACATCGCCTCTTTAGTGTGTAAAGGCTCAATGCATCTTGTTGGTGCAAATTTGGAAAACGATACCCCCAGAGTGAATACGATTTGTTTACTCTCCTAGCAGAGACTTAGGTATCGGCTTATTTTTGACGTATTCTTGGCATTTGTATCAGCAATTACAGCTTTATGTTGTATCATTAGTGTCCTCAGATCGCCTGTTTAGTGTGTAAAAGGCTCAGTTCAAAATCTTGTTATTGCTTCCCTGTCACAAACTTAGCAAATAATACAAACGATGACCCCAGGTACAGTGAATACAAGCAGAGGTTTAGGTTTCGGCTTGTTTTTGACCTGTTGTCAGCCATTTTTATCACACTTTCTTTTTTGTACCGGTCTTTTTTTCGCTAGGTAACTGCCTGGCAAATGGATTTTAATTTGCTGTTTTGACGATAAATACTCATGAAGTATAAAGGAAATAATAGAATAAAGTTTCCAGTATGATCTTAAATATTCTTAGTGCAGGTAGAATTTGTCTGGTGCAGGATATGTATGCAGAAAGAGTGTTTGAGGCCCGGATGAATGACTTTTATCTTCTATACCCGCTAGAAGAAGCGAGATGAAAAACATCATCCCAAGTCCAATAATCCACCCGTCAAGTGTGGGTTTGCTGCCGACACTAACCTTTACCTTTCCCGTTTCGAAATAACACCGCCTCAGACATTTAGAGATTGGCACACTCGAGTATATAAGGACACAGCAAGTAAATGTAATGGATGACACCCTCTGCAGACTCCAAATCTAATGCGATAGGAAGAAAAAACAAACAAGGTGGGTCAAAAAACAAGGTTCCTACATTTTCAAATTTTGACATCATAAACCTTGTTAAACAAGAAATGATACCTATATTGTGCTAAGTTTACTGCCAACTATTACAAAATCCATTTCTCACGGAAAAACTATGAAAAATAATTTCAATCATTGTACAAATGGTTTTGATTCAGTCGGAAGATCACATATACACAGCCAACAAATATCTTTCTCCACTTTCGGCATGTTGTCCACTGTCAGAGGGCGACAAATTTCTTGTTTTTTTTTCCCCAAAATCAGGCGAAAATTAATGCATGCGCTGATGTCATCCATAAAATTACTTGCTGTGGCCTTAAGGTGAAGCTAACGCGGCGCGCACAGGTAAAATGTGTCTGTGAAAGTTTGATTGCACAGCTCGCAGCTAGAGCTAAGCTCCGTATCCACCTCAAATGTCAATTCGTGTCCTGCATGCAATACAGTAATTCTGAGGCTTAATTCAAACACCACTACAATAGATGACACTTGGCAGGGCACTACAGCTACTGTGTACAAGATAGCGGTGCTGGAATAAACTAATTTGCTGAAGTACTGTACTGTACTTTACCTTTATGGATTAGGCCTTTGTAACTTGTATAACACATATATCTGCAACCAAACCACGTACGGTTGACCTGATTAGTTTGGTTACAGGCACAGGCCATACATGTATCAAGACTAAAATACACCTTGGATTTGGAATGTCAGTACAGACATCAAATACGGCATTGTATCTTAGCCCTTGTCCTGCTGTGCGCAACATATGTTGCGCGGCACATTCAGTACCATCTATATAACACCCTGCATAGGTACGATTTGGGGCTACTTCTCGTGCAACGGATTACACCGCTGCGAAACGCAACGAATACGGAAGTAACTATGCCACTGCAGGGCAAAAAAAAATTGTTTTTTTTTATCTAATTAAGACATGAAAATATTGAAAAATATTGTGCCAGGAATGCCAGCAGGACAAGGGTTAGGCTGTATGTTGAAAACAACTGTGTTTTTAAAAATTCACGATTGGCGATCAAAGATGGTGGTTAGCTTGAATATGTATGGCATCATTTTATGGCATGGTCGAGCGTGGTTGGCAGTGAAATTTGACTCAAATTTAACTCAAATTCTATTCTAGTCGAAATGTATGCCTGTTTTAAATCTGGACAGACTGCTCCCGAACTTCAGCCAACCTTAGTTGTTTTTTTGGTTGCTAGTCGGGGGAAGGTTCTGAATGTGTGACAGGGGCTTAAGGTTCCCCATTGTTGACTGCTGTCTGTGACTGTATATGTCCACGTCACCCAGGCTAGTGTTCACCGTTATCGTGGCGATAGTAAAACTAGCGTTACTAGCGTTTCTCTCAGGATGTGGAGAGGACATCTCAGCCCGGTAGATACTGACTAACGCTGAACAGAGTTATCTATTTCAGCATGAAAGTTCATCTGAGTTGGTAAATTACATTATTAAAAATTTAAACTGTTCTCCAACTCATAAATTTCACCTACCGAAATTTTCGACTGCATCACTCAGTCTTCCTCAGCTATCTATTAACTACTGTATAAACGCTGTGTGTATCGTGTGTGTCCATACAGGTTGAGAGAGGCGGCACGTTACCCCGATGGTAAACTGTTACTAGTGTTTCTCTCAGGATGTGGAGAGGACATCTCAGTCCAGTAAATACTGACTAACGCTGAACATAGTTACGTTTATCAACTACTGTAAACGCTGTGTGTATCGTCTGTGTCCCCACAGGTGGAGAGAGGCGGCACGTTACCCCGAGACCCTAGCACAGTCTTCCACCAGGGCCTTCCCCCGGACTACATGGGCATGTCCGTCTTCTCCACCATTTGTTGTTTCGCACCTCTCGGAATAGCGGCGCTCTACTTTTCTCTCGAAGTGAGTATCAAAGGCATGCTCATAAATCTGAATTTCTACACAAGCTCTCTAGTGGCACTGATGAAAGGTAGCGGATGCTACCTGAAACGTCTGACCGTTTCCAACATCATATCCCATTGCTTGATTAACTGTTTTTAGCGTATCTTATTACCTGCACCGACGTACCAAAGGCATGCTATGCAGTTTCAGGGTGGCAAAACAAAATATTCTGGATGAGGAAGTCCGTCTGATATCGACATTTATTGCCATTTCCTAGGACATTTTTTGCCACCCTTTCATACTTGAAGCGTTTGAAATAACCTCCAAAAAAACTACGTGAGTAGTGCCAATTAAGTCACTAAAAGTCTAAATACTTCCTAGAGCATTGAAATCACCGAAGTTTCCCGCCTAGCACGGAGTCGTTTACGTTTTACAATAACTAGTGAGAGGGATTGTTGTTACCGACGATTGACGGCGGGACGCTTCGTTTTATAGACTCGAAAGAACATCGAACATAAATGTTTACGGTTGTTTCCCATTTCCTCTGCGTGTGCAAGATACGGTTAGCTTGAGGAATGAATCCCCTCTACTATATACTGCATACTTCTCAATGGATGGATCCTCTACTGTAGTATCTTCTAAGGGACGACTGCGTATGCGAGATGTTGGTTAGCTTTGGAACGAATCCTCTGTACTATATATATAGTGAGAACATTGTTGTTAGCTACGATTGACGGCTGGACGCTTCGTTTTATAGACTCGAAAAAACATCGAACATGAAGGTTTACGGTTGTTTCCCATTTTCTCGATCATACACGACTTCTCCCATTGGCACCCAGCCCGCCCACACAGGCAGAAACACGTAACATTAACGCGAGAAAGGCGATTAGCGAGATAGGATGTCTTTTGATGAGGAAGCAGAAACGAGTCAATGAAGCCCTGTCGTCAATTAGGTGCCGGTAAAGGTCATTAACTAAAACACCTCGTCTATTTATAACAGGCTGTTGAATTCATCAACAGATCATCCTGTCAAAGCACGTACCGTGCAGAATACTGATGAACAGCGCTTTTTCTTATCACACTGTAGTTCTGAGTTTACTGGCAACGTTGTCAGGGTGTTTTGTGGAGATACATTGCATCCATACTAAACACTTTATCAAAAGAAGCACAAAGTTCGTGCTTTTAATAGTCCCTGGCAAAATAATCTTAAAGCGTTTGATAGCTTGAGCATGCTTCTATATCATTTTCAGAGAATGACATAATCTCCAAGCAAATCTTTTGGTGGCTGTGACAGTATCAAATGGGCCAGGCAGTATCCATTTACCATGCAGATACCATTTGGCCGGCGTAAAAGATACCGGTACAAAAAGGAAAGTATAAAAACGCATAAAACACATACGAGTAAACAAAAGAAAGTCCGATATAAATGTCTAACAACACGTAAGAAAAATAAGCCAAAGCCAAAACCTCTGCTTGGAGAGTAAGAATGATGTGATATGTTTGTGTTTGCTTAGATATAGTTTTTGCCATAGTTACTAGATTGCACGCCGATAAAGGTTAGACCTCCGGGTATTAAGATACGCCAAAAAGCAGTTACTCAAGCAAGTGGACACATCACACATCCTTGAGTAACTGCTTTGTTGGCGTAACTAGATTACAGATTACGGTTTTGTTAAGAATGTTTTATTAACAAAAGTTGAACTAAGATTCTACTAATAATTTTGATGCTGTTTTATTTTTTGCCAGACGAGCAGCTCAATAATACTGGGTGACTACCACATGGCGAGCAAGACTTCCCGTCGTGCCCAGCTCCTGTCAATCATGGCCATCATCCTCGGAACGCTGGCCTACACGGTAGCCTTGGTTGTCGTGGCAACGCACATGACCTGACCAATGGCAGCACATGTAACAAAGTTATCTTATGACCTGACCAATGGCAACACATATAACAAAGTTATCTTATAAACTGACCAATGGCAACACATATTACCTGACCAATGGCAACACATGTAACCTGACCAATGGCAACACATATAACCTGACCAATGACAACACACATGACCTGACCAATGGCAACACATATAACCTGACCAATGGCAACACATATAACCTGACCAATGGCAACACATTTAACCTGACCAATGGCAACACACATGACCTGACCTATGGCAACTCTCATGACCAGTGACCAATGGCAACACGAATATAACCTGCCCAATGGCAGCACACCTGACCTGACCAATGGCAACACACTTGACCTGACCAATGACAACACACATGACCTGCACCTGACCAATGTCAACACATATAACCTGACCAATGACAACACAGATGACATGACGAATGGCAACCCACATAACTTGACCAATGGCAACACACATGACCTGCACCTGACCAATGGCAACACATATAACCTGACCAATGACAACACAGATGACCTGACCAATGACAACACACATGACCTGGCCAATGGCAACACAATATCTGACCAATGGCAACACATATAACCTGACCAATGACAACACACATATTACCTGACCAATGGCAACAACATTACATACAGATCGGCCCTTGGTAGACAGGAGTAACTTTGACAATTGTGTTGTAAGCATGACCAAACCCTAAATGGTGCATGCAGACATTTTCAGGCAGCACGTCATTTGGATACGTGATTCTTGACTCTTGAGAATACTGAATCATCTTCATCACAAGAAATCATATTGCGGAAGTCGTCCTGGCTATTGAAAGAAGATAAAGAACTGAACAATGGTTTTACTTCAACAAATGAGATACTTGAAACTCTTATCTGAAGTGAGGACAATGTGTACATATCTGCATGTGTACAGACTCTTATAATTATTATCGTAACTAAAAATAAGCGTCGCTCCAGGCTGTCGTATCATTGCTGTTGTATATGCGATAAACTGGTAGGTAGCATATATTACACGTTTATCCATGACATGATACGACATGAATAACAGATCATAGATCCTTTTAATTCAGTCTTGAGAGAAAAATATGTGATACTTGTAGCGTGCATGTGTCTCTATCTTCAGCTTTGAAAGAAGCAACTTTTACTGCTCTAACTCTGACTATATCACTGCCCAAATGTACAAGTATCAGTTTTATCAAGCTCAGTTAATATGTAAATAATGTATAAACAGGTTCTTAAGAAGATTACAAGAAATTTATAATTACGATAAGCGGTCCAATTATTAAAAGTACGTACTATACATAACTCTACTACACGTAATTGGGAACAAAATTCCACAGGGAAAGTGAAGAATATGGTGATATAACGTAAAAACTAGCATGCGACATGGGACTATAGTTGTACAGTTGTATGTTTTACACAGACTTAGTGCATTATACATTCATTTGTTAATAAGTGGTTCGTATGGATTCATATTGATTGTCTTCTACTCCGTACATCTAATCTACTTTTCAGTAATATTAATTTCTATTCTAAGCTTATATTAAAACTATTACGCAAGGATACTTAAGCACTATGGCCCGAGAACACAAGGAAAATACTCAATCATGCTCGATAATCAAAATACCTGACCATGAAAGCATGTTAAGTCGGTGTGGGTACACTTTGCTTTTGTTTTCCTACATCTAGAATGTACATACATGTTAAAAAATTCATTTGCTATCGCGTAGATGCCTCGAGCGTTTATATGATGATTTCGTAAATTTAAGTGTCGATCAATAAAGGATGTCAAATGTACCTCTCACTTTTCTCTTGCGTCCTCGGCTAATCAGTCACCATCATCTTTCCTTCAACAGCTTTTCTTTACAAATACTTCTTATCGACCATTCATCTAAACCGTTGGTGTAAGTTGCCTGGAGTTGATTGATACACGAGTCCGGTGTTGTGAGTAGGTTCATCAGAGGTGTAATGACTTTCGTATCGATTTCCGTAAAGTCAGATACAATATAAGGCATGAATAGGCCGACATCATGTGTCTGGGATGTAGGATGGATGTACAGTGATCATTCATTGTATGTTACATGTCTGTTACATGTGTAGGGAGGTATTGTTTTGTGTGTGTGTGTGTGTGTGTGTGTGTGTGTGTGTGTGTGTGTGTGTGTGAGTGAGTGAGTGAGTGAGTGAGTGAGTGAGTGAGTGTATGTGTGTATGTGTGTGTAGGTGCGTGCGTGTGCGTGTGCGTGTGTGTGTGTGTGTGTTTGTGTTGTATGTATGTGTGTGTGTGTGTGTGTGTGTGTGTGTGTGTGTTTGTGTTGTATGTAGTGTGTATGTGTGTGTGTGTGTGTGTGTGTGCTTGTGTGCTCGTGTGTGTGAAACTCTTAAAAGTAATCTGTTTCTATCGGCCTAGTAGTGAATACATTGACGGAATAACATTCACGACATAGGCGAAATATGCATGGAATAGTAGAAATATTGCATGAAATAAGCGAAATATGCATGGAATAAGCGAAATATTGCATGAAATAAGCTAAATATGCATGGAATAAGCGAAATATGCATAGAATAAGCGAAATATGATAAGCGAAATATGCATGGAATAAGCGAAATATGCATGGAATAAGCCAAATATGCATGGAATGAGCGAAATACGCATGGAATAAGCAAAATATGCATAGAATACGCGAAATATGCATGAAATAAGCCAAATATGCATGGAATAAGCGAAATATGCATGGAATAAGCGAAATATGCATGGAATAAGCGAAATATGCATGGAATAAGCGAAATATTCATGGAATAAGCGAAATAGGCATGGAATAAGCGAAATAGGTATGGAATAAGCGAAATATGCATGGAATAAGTGAAATATGCATGGAATAAGCGATATATGCATGGAATAAGCGAAATATACATGGAATATCGAAGCGAAATCGGCCGGCTTGTTTTCCGTTTTAGCCCTGATCTTGTAAAAGCAAATGGTTCATTATTTACAGCCTGCTGCTTGCTACGTCTCCACGCGTCCTGCGGTGTTGGCGCCCTCTTCAGTACATTGGGCCCGCGAAGGGTCCCGCTAAAGACCAGGGGTTAACAGCTTTTCACGGCAACACGGCGTTCATAATTGAAAAGTCGAGTTCCCGCACCACTTCGGGGCAAAATATGCATGTCGGGCTATCTATCAACATAAGCCATAACGTTACATGGGGTGAGGTTGTGAACATTAAAACGGACAGGTTGCACCTGTGCCGAAGTTGCGCCCTGGCGAGGCAGGAAAACGACGGCAAAATTCAGGAAGTTAAACAACACATGATTAAGGTGCACAGACAGTAGCTAGCAAAATAGGGGAGCACATTTGGAGACAAGAGTCATTTTCAAGAATTATGACTTTTATTTCATAAGATATGCACAATTTTGATCGTTGAAGTTTACTTAGTATTTGGACCGGTGAAGTTTGTATCCCTCTCGCCACAAAAGCGCCACCTACATCGGCTACGTTTAACGGCAAGAAGCAGTACTCCAGTCAGAAGCTCTGAGAAGGTGTCTGATAGACATCAAAACGTAATTAACGAGGTAGGAAGAAGCCCTGCTTGTGTATAAGAAAATCCCAATATCCCATGTTCACCAACCCAGTACCTGATGAAATTATTTTTGGAAATCAGTCTGCAATATTTTCAAGAGGCCTGTACTTTGATTTCTGAGTCCGTCGTCCAATAACCCCAGCCACTGCAATCCCCACTGCTATCACCAACAGCACAACTCCGACAACTACGATCAGTATTTCATCCTTGCCGCCTTTGGAGTCACCTACACATTCCTCTGCCTGGGAAAAGTTTCCGGATTGCACGTCAAACGGCTGGACCTGAACTTGGTAGAACGCTACGGAAACGTTTTTGGTAAGAGCGACACTGATGACTTTAGAACACTTGTAAGAATGTCGGGCGTTTGTTGGGAAGAGATTGAGAGTCGTGTTTGAGATCTCTCGGGGTTTGTTCGGCGTTAGCGTGTCTGAGAAAATGGCGGGAACTTCCTCGAAGGAAAGGCGAGCGGCAGTCCCGCGATACGTGGTCACGTGGTCGTCGCCGCGTTCTCGCGAGAACGAGAGCGTCAGATTAAACATGGCGTCGTAGAACGTCAGGGTCAAGGTCGAATGCGAGTTTCCGCAAACTCCTGATACCTGGGCGTTTGGAGGCACGTCAAAAATGGCAGTCCCAAGCATATCACTCTCTTTGGTGTAGTTGATATGAAACCGTATGCCCATATTTGCCAGTAAACATTTCTCGCCTGACGTATTGTAAACAACGAAATGACCTTGTGTTACGGGAGGGTACACAGGCGATGAATATGGCGGCATCATTGAAGTAGTAATGACTGGTCTGGTGGTGTGGTTAGTAGGAAGTACTGTAGAGGCTGGACCAATAGAAGAGTAGTTACCGACAGTAGCTGGTGTAGTAACAGTACTAGTCACCGTGGTAGCATTTTCGATAGGGTACATGGTCACTGTCGTGGTGAGTGGCGGTTCGGTCGTACTGTGATGATCTCGCGAACACTCTCTAGCTTCCGAAAACTTCCCAAAACGGACTTCGAACGGCTGTACTTGGATGTAGTGAACGGTTAGGTTCGCAACTGTGCCGCCAGGATTCTGATTCAGAAAAAGGTTAAAGTCAGTCTTGCACAGATATGAATGGGGAAGCAGGACTCCAGACGATGTGTTCAGCCGCACGCCCATGCTGTAAGGGTACGCCGTCCCGTAGGCGTATTTTGCATCTGGGAAGATTTCAGGAGTTAGGGTATGGCTTGACATGATCTCCCACAGGTGAAAATGCTTCATAACGAGAGAATCCCGTCCGAAAGTCATGCCAAGTCCAAAGTTTCCACGGAAGACCCGACCTCTAGATTCGCAATTGGTGAAGTTCAGGTGAATGAACGAGTCAGGTCCAATACTAGGGCACTCACCGGTTACTCGACTTGTGGTAGGCAAGTCGTAGGACACGGTTGCGGTACTGTTGTCAGTCTTGGTGTACTGAACATGAAACGTGGCTGACAGGTCCAACAGAAGGCATGTTCTACCGTGGCCGTGTTTTTTCACCGCAAAGCGTCCTATTGCTGTTGACCCCGTGTTGTCAACTGGCGCTCCGTAACAACATTTGAAGATAACAAGGACTATCAAACGACCCACAGACATCGTCGGGTACTTTTTTGCTGTCTAACGCCGAAGTTCTATTGTCCTGCTTGCTATTAGTCCAGAAAGCCACAAGTAACTCTCCCTGTGTCCTCAAATACTTTCACTAGAACCTCGTGACGCAATAAGCATAGTCTCCAACGGACGTCTTTGCAGGCTGTAGAAATAGTAGAAATCTGCTTAAAAAGTATGTAGCTGGCCAGGAGAGTTAGTCGGCCATGGGGGGCCCAATTTGCAAATCGGATCCTCTATGGCCGACCAACTCCCCTGGCCAGTTACAATGTTCTTTTAAGCCGATTTATATTATTTATTTAGCCTGCAAAGGGGCCTGGTGGAGACTATAATCAGGGGACGATCATATGGATTACAAAGTCCGCGGAGATGGCAAACACATTTAAAGCAAGGGTCACTCGTACTGTACACTCTATCGGGTCAAAGTACGTCTTCGAAGGTTGGTCCAAAAGCGACCATGGCTTCTTTATTTTGCCCTGTATCCGTTCAGTGGTTTACCATAATGATCTTTATTGCTGTACTCTGTGTGGTTAACTCAACTGTGTCTGCTGACTCGTCGACCCACATAGGGCACTTCTCACTCAAGGAAAACGACAAGCCATGCTTCCTGCTCGACCTGTCGGCCACCTGTCACGTACAGGTACGTTCAACACGTAATTCCCTGTAACTGGACATTCCACTATATGTAGGACGAACAGATACAAAACTCTCCTATCCCTTACTTGGTATACGAGTTAGACGAGTGATTAGCCCATTGAACTGATGGCATGTAAATGTATTCACAGTAAGACAGAATGTATTTGCATTATGCCCTAATAATGATTAGTACATGCGTTTCTAGAAAATGAAGCAGTTATTATAAGTGTATTTTAATGTGTATAATTGATAATGTTTCTACTACTTTGTATGCAAATTAAAAAAAAACTGCTTGTAAATCCAACAACATTCAGGCTATTTGTAAGACTGCTGGATTGATAAAGTTTCATTCATTCATTCATTCATTCATTCATTCATTCATTCATTCATTCATTCATTCATTCATTTCCTTTCCTTTCTTTATTCCTCCACGTTGGGAGAGCCATGGTCGTTAAAATACAGGGATATTACAGTTTAAAAATAGTTTGTTTTTTCACACAGACACATGATTAAATATAAATAATGGATATCGTCTATTCTATGGCGATCTGTCCATTTCTATTTCGTCTTTCTTAGGCATTACAGTTCTTTACTATTCCTGAGTGTTTAACACTCGACCGCTCTCTTTCTCTAAGTCCTAAATGTAAACACATACTGTCCACTCCTCCACAGGTGTTTCACTCTGTACTCTCTGTCTCTTTCTGTCTCTTTATCTCTTGTAAACGCACTGTCCACTCTTTCACAGGTGCTTTACTCTGTATCACTTCTGTCTTCTGTCTCCTTCTGTCTCTGCATCTCTTGTAAACACTATACACTCTTCCACAGGTGTTTCACTCTGCATCACTTCTGTCTTCTGTCTCTTCATTCATTCATTCATTCATTCATTCATTCATTCATTCATTCATTCATTCATTCATTCATTCATTCATTCATTCATTCATTCATTCATTCATTCATTCATTCATTCATTCATTCATTCATTCATTCATTCATTCATTCATTCATTCATTCATTCATTCATTCATTCCATACAGTACGAGAAGACAGACGGGAGTGTTGCCACAGTGTCCTACCCTGTCCCTACCTACAGCCAGGCTACCGGATTCTGCGCAACTGACGACCAATTCGACGAACTATCCCAGATTGAACTGAACTTCGGCGACCGCGTTCCAGGTAGCCCAATTTATACACAATTCGCTGACAAAACGAGAAAATGTAATACATTCCTGATGATACTACTATCAATAGAGTTAGATTAGTATACTAATTATTAGTATCTTTTACTATCATGAAAGTTCATCTATGTTGGAAGTTACATGTTTAATTTTTTGTGTTGGACCAAAAGTTTTAACTTTAAACATATTAGTATCTTTATTGTTATATATGAAAGTAGATCAGCTTCCTAGAACAGTTAGAATTGTCACCTCTTAGAACTGTTAGATATTGTTAACATCACCAACTATGTATGTACATTTTGCCATACGTAAACGTTGTACCCGTTTCTGTATCTGTATCAGTATAGCCCTTCGGCGTAACACACCAGCTTCGCAGGCACGCGGCGCGGCGGCAGCTAGCTATATCGCACCGAACGACTTGTTACACCCGTTACATCTGTTGTGCAATAAAGCTCTTCTTTTTCTTCTATGTTCTAGGGCACGGATTTGAAGGGACGTTTGCGTTGATACTAAAGTTTCAGCGGGACATCCCCCTTATGACACACTTCTGGCTAAACGAAGTGGTCAGCGTCCATACTCTGTTTCCCGGGCTGTTTCCTGATGCTAAGTTTGCCAACCAGGTAGTGACGACGTACAGACTTGCAAACCATCTCAACACCAGCGCCTTTCTGTCTCCACGTTCCTACCTGTGCAAGAAAGACGAGCTTTTCCCCTTGGATCAGTACGTTGAAGAGCTGCCGACAAATGTCACAATACACTACATTCATGTTCAACCGTTTAAGGTTCGTGTTGGAGGCAAGTTTGCAGAAACAGAGGAATGCCCGCAGGACTTTCTAACTACAACAACAGAACCACCCTACCCGGTTACTACCGAATCACCGGTTATCCCGGTCGGCCATTTTGTTTTGCAAGACGACAAAGGTCAGACCTGTTTGTTAGCGAACTTTGGCGCCATGTTTCGCGTGGAGTACGACCTGACGTCACAGGGCATGATCCGCAACGCCATCTACGTTCTGCCAGCAAACTGCAGCGTGTCCGGCTTTTGCGGAGAAGAAGCTGTTCACGTAACATTGAGTTTTGACACAGCTTTTAATCTTAGCGCTTCTTTTTCGTCCGACGGTAAGGTGTTTAAGCTGGTGTCTTTGTCAGTAGGATACGTGAGAAGTCCCGACCACTTTCCAGATGCTATGTACCCAGATACAGGCGACATTGAAGAATTAACGAACTTAACGTTAGTGACAACCGATGTTGGGAAGTCGTATCTTTGCAAGGAGGCAGGAGTGATCAAGGTTGGTGCTAGTGTTGTGCTCGAAGTCTTGGAGTTACAAATCCAGCCTTTCGACGTGAAGAACGGGCGTTTTGGTGAAGCGAGCGAGTGTAACAATGACATTCCAACCACCAATGCAAGTTACACCGTTGTGCCAGCGTCCTCCGTTCTCCCGACCAACCCTACAACAAACATGCCGACACTACCGCCCCCTAGCGGCCCCACCGAGCCACTGCAGGGCAACTACACAGTGCACGATGCGGAGGGGAAAGTCTGCCTTCTCGCAGACTTTGGCCTTCAGCTCAGAATCAACTACACCCGACAGAACGGAAAGATTGCCACGGGTGTTGTCAATGTTCCAGTCAACGCTGAAGTTTCTGGTACATGTTCTAACACCCACTCGTCGCTGACTCTTTTATTCTACGACGAAACGTTCAATCTGACCATCTCCTTCGCGATGAGCAAGAACAAAGCTGGCTCAAAAACTTCTCACTGGACAGGCCTTCACCTCTCGTTTGAAGAAGCGCCCTCTATCTTCCCCGGAACGAAACGCATCAACGACCCTAGGCTCATATCTAACACTAGTCTCGATCTACTTACAACCAGTGCGGGTAAGTCGTACAAATGTAACGCAGACGTGAACACGACAATAACCAAGGACATGGCGATACTAGTACGACTCGTTCACGTGCAAGCTTTCGACGTAGAGTCTGGGCAGTTTTCAGCCTCAGAAGAATGTGTCCAAGATTCTAAGGGTTCGGTGGATAAAACTGCGATAACTGTTGTTGGGGTTATTCTGTTTATCATAGCCCTGTCTATAGCTGTCGTTGGTGTTGTCGGTAAGAGGAAAGCGCAAAAGATGTACGTTCGTCTGCCATCATTATTGGACTGATATGTTTACCTTGTAATCTTGCCTTTGTCTTGTAGCAAGTTACCATATTACAAACATAATAGATCACACACGGGCATTTAGTGGTTGACAAGCATAGATATGATACACCAAATAAAAGTTCACTGGGATACTTCATATACATGTACAAGTCTGCGTCGTCCTTTTTTTGTTGAGATACCTAGGTACAATATATAATAATAGCAGCATTATACATTGTTGTTTGTACATATACATGTAACGCACATGGATATCATGTACTCGTAGTTTATATGAATAAACTGATGATGAAAAAAAAAAAGAATAATTGATTCAGCAGACAGTAACAATTTGTCCAGGCCATACATGTATGTATAGTACCAGCATTAGCAGCCTTAGAACTTCGTCGTCTTGTATACGATTGAGTACTATCACCTTAGCCTCTACCAGGCTTCGGGAGGCGACTAGAAATGGTACAAACTGGTCAAATAGAGAGATAATATGCCAGGGGAGTTTATCTAACTACACTCACTAGCCGACCAACTAGTTATCTCTCTATTTGGCCAGTTTCTTCTATTTCCAGACGCCTCCTGAAGCCTGGTAGAGGCTACTATCACTCTAGAGTGACGCAGTCAAACTGTAATTTAGAGCATCAAGTTGTCGTTCCCAGTCCTCCAAATCCTCGTCATCATAATCATCATCATCATCCGCTCTCGTTCCCTGCTTTTCGAAATACGTCACCAGCCTGAGCGTGTCTCGTTCCCGCTCCTCCTCCTCCTGTGCCACGTACTTGTACCGCGAGGCCACGCCGCAGAACGCCACAAAGTTCACCAGGCCCAGGGCGGCCAGCAGGAACAGATACGCCTCCAGATAGCCCTCGTTCGGTTCGTCAGGGTACCACTGTGTGCCTGGGAGGGAAAATGTACTACGTAATAGTCAACGTACAGTGCATGGATTTGATTTGATTTACTAGACTGTATAAACAGATATATACAGCCAGGACTGCCCAACTAGCCGGAGGCTATTATAAGGGGCTAGCTCTTACGACAAGAAATAAACAATTAGTAACAGGTATAACAGTTAATAGTACCAATAATGCGGAAATTTGATAAATATGATTCGTTCGATAATAGGACTATAAAACACTTTTGATATCAGCAGACATCGATTATGTAAATGAATTACTAATTTGCATAATTAATAAAACATTGCTATAATCTAATAATGGTAACTGCCGGAAATTCAAAATTTGCCCCATTTGGAAGTTAAGGGAAGGTGAACATCATTCAGCATATTTAAATCCACATGGATAAACAGTCGGCTGCAGTACCGTAGGGAAACGCTAGGTGAACCATTTTTGAACTTGACCTTCATTTTTACAACCGCTACTCACCTACCAATTAATGTTCATCTACATCTTCTCGAGTTATGCTGTTGACATACATAACGTTATAGACCCAGACCACAGCCGCCCCACCATGGCAAAACCGAAACCATAACCTTCTTGTCGAAGGTAATAATACAACGTCTGTTAAACATGTTAGCCTGGATCTGGCAGGCTCCTGAGGCTCACCTGGCGTAGCAGCGTTCACCAGGTTGATGAGGACTGCGCCTGTGAGGCTACCCAGCCCCATGGTGATGCCCACCAGCCCCATAACCACTGTACTCAGCGGGGCGGGCGCCTCCGTGTAGGCAAACTCTATACCTGGGGAGGGGACATCAATCAATCAATCAATCAATCAATCAATCAATCAATCAATCAATCAATCAATCGAGCGATCAATCAATGAATCAATCAATGAATCAATCAATGAATCAATCAATGAATCAATCAATGAATCAATCAATGAATCAATCAATGAATCAATCAATGAATCAATCAATGAATCAATCAATGAATCAATCAATGATTTTGTTGATTGAATAATAAACTAATGAATCAATCAGTCAATCAATCAGATTTGAAAACGTAAGATTTCTAAAATACCTTTAGAACTATAAAAGTAACATTTGCAGAGCAAGTGTATAATGTTTACCTTCACCTGGTTTAACTCAACAAACTACTGCTATGTTTATTCTTACTCAAAGTCAGATACATTCATATGTATGGTGAGCAGGCTCTGTCTTGCTACATAAGGCCACACCAAGTAAATTTTATGGATGACGTCCTTTGGAGACCCTAAATCTAATGCGAGAGGGCGAAAAAAAAAACAAGAAGGGCCCTAAAAAACAAGATGCCTAGATAAGAAATATTGCACTGCTGACAGGACCATCCTGTCTGTTAATAGTTCCAAAAACGGCACTGTTTTGGAACTATTGACAGGATTTTTTTCAGTGCCATTTTTTTTTCATTTTTTAACCAGGCACAGGCTTTCGGCGTTACGGGTTTCACGTCAATCTGACGATTTGCGGCACTGTCGTGACTCTTTGGTCATAGTTACAGGAAGCGGAATTTCTTGTTTTTTTTCTAGGAACAGGCCAAAATCAATGCGCGCGCGGACGTCATCCATAAAATTTACTTGGTGTGGCCTAATGTAACCCAACACCACAGGGTGTTGCTACAGCACAAGTTACCATGGTGACAGACGTCTGGTCCAGTCATTGAATTGATTTGTTTGGAGAAGAAGAGGAAGAAGAAGAAACTGAGCAAAAACAATACGTTTCCCTTCTGCGAATGTAAACCTGGAACACCTTACCTGATGACATGACGAACACCTCTCCCGTGCCCACCAGCATGTACTGCGGACCCAGCCAGAGAGCGTTGACGGAGGAGGCGTTGAAGGGAAGACCGCCCAGCCACTGTCTAACAAAGTAAGCATTACCCGACTATTTTACTACCATTGGTAAATAATACAATTTTCTGTCCTTACCTGACGACATGACGAACACCTCTCCCGTGCCCACCAGCGTGTACTGCCGGCCCAGCCACAGAGCGTTGACTGAGGAGGCGTTGAAGGGAAGACCGCCCAGCCACTGTCTCACAAAGTAAGCATTACCCGACTATTTTACTACCATTGGTAAATAATACAATTTTCCGTCCTTACCTGACGACATGACGAACACTTCTCCCGTGCCCACCAGCATGTACTGCGGACCCAGCCAAAGCGCGTTGACGGAGGAGGCGTTGAAGGGAAGACCGCCCAGCCACTGTCTCACCAAGTAAGCATTACCCGACTATATTTACTATATAATTTTTAATACAAATTTCTGTCCTTACCTGACGACATGACGAACACCTCGCCCGTGCCCACCAGCATGTACTGCGGACCCAGCCACAGTGCGTTGACGGAGGAGGCGTTGAACGGAAGGCCGCCCAGCCACTGCCTCACCACGCCGCCATCTTCGATCACGTTCTTACGCGCGATCTCCGCTCCAGCCGCCACCAAGATGGCCAGCAATCCGAGGAAGTGGCCAGTACCTTTTAGGGGAACGTGAAATTGTATTATATTTCATACACTTAAGCAATGTAGAAAATTTGATATTCCTACTGCAACTTGACAAATCTTCAACATCGAACTGCTCGGCCAGGCCCCGGCTTTGAAATGTGACTCCATCCAGCCGCGACCAAGATGGCCATCAGTCCGAGGAAGTGGCCAGTACCTTCAGGAGAATGGGAAATTGTAGTACATGTCCCGTCAGCAAGGAGCCTATATTTGTCAGACACAGTGTGTGGGAATGGTGTATGTCTGTGTTAGTGGACAGTGTTCAGCACCAAGGACAGGGATATGTATGTGTTAGTGAATAGTGTTCAGCACCAAGGACAGGGATATGTATGTGTTAGTGGATAGTGTTCAGCACCAAGGACAGGGATATGTATGTGTTAGTGAACAGTGTTCAGCACCAAGGACAGGGATGTGTATGTGTTAGTGGATAGTGTTCAGCACCAAGGACAGGGATGTGTATGTGTTAGTGAACAGTGTTCAGCACCAAGGACAGGGATGTGTATGTGTCAGTGGATAGCGTTCAGCACCAAGGACAGGGATATGTATGTGTTAGTGAATAGTATTCAGCACCAAGGACAGGGATGTTGATTACAGATCAGAAAAGCTATACCATAGTCGAAACCTGGAAGATAGCAGGTTTCGACTATGGTACAGCTTTTGACATAGGGTATATTTTTTTTAATCCCTCTTGCTTTCATATAGCTTTTGATTTTGGTATCTGGTACAAATTATGCAGAAAAATCTAACTTTGTCAACGTAGCTTTGTCAACATTTGTTCCATGCGGAATCATAATTTTATAAGATAAGGACCTACCCATTCTCTTGAGTGGACTCGGCCGAACATTGCACATTTCCAGCATGGGATATACCACTCTGTCCATGAGGGGGACCAGCAGCAGGATGGGGATGATAGCGAACAGGTTAAGAGCGGCGATGGGCAGGACTATGCCGGTGGAGCCCACGTCCAGGTTCAGCCGCATGGCCTGTAGGAAGAACGTCGTCGGCATCTGTGGAGGAGTGTTAGGTGTTAGATCGTCGCATTTTACATGGTTGTCATCATGAGAAGTAAACGTACACAGCAATGCCTTTAAGGAGTAAGATACAGCATTCCTTCCTTGTGGGTTATGGATAGTAGAAGACGGTAAGTCACAGTAAGGACAACATTTTCGTTTTGTAGACCTGTGTAATGTCTCTAGGAAACCGTCGGAAAGATTTAAATTCACTACTAGTATTTTCCCTTGGCGAATTTCCTCTCAAATCGAGTTCCCATTACGTGGGCAGCAATGCCTTTAAAACTATTAAATAAAATACAGTTGAGTTAGCCTCCGGGCCTTCTCGAGGTTTTATGGATAGTAGAATTCGGCAAGGGTAGAGTCAAGAATTTGCGAACGAGCCACGGTAAGGGAAACATTTTCGTTTTATAGACCTGTGTAATGCCTCGTTGTTGTTATTGTTTGAAGTCCCTAGCAAGTAACTCTCCCTATAGCCAGCATAGTTAGTTTAGCACAGACTAGTAGGCTCTTAAGACCATGAAGAAGGATCTTCTTCTACACCATGTATTCTTTGTTTTACGCTTAGAGCGTCTGAGTTCTGATGCAGAGACTACAGTCAGATTATACTAGTTACCTATAATTGTGTTGATGGATATCCTACCTGATAGAAGACTGTTCTGTTCAAAATTTGTACCAGGAACACGGGGACGATTCTCTCCAGTTTCTTGACCATCTCCACGTGCGTGTCTGAGTAAGACCCCCCGCAGCTTTCCTTGGCTCTGTCCAGCCAGGAGTCCACGTGACCGCCCAGGCGCCCTCGCCATCTAACGGTGTTCTTGGTCGCTTGGAAGACGATTCGAAGTGTCGTGGCGAGGGGGCTCACTGTAAAAAAAAAAAAATAAAAGATAAGAAATCGAACAAAACTAGAAAGGTGACATTTGCAAATGCAAATGCATTATGTTTATATTCACATGGCCCAGCTTAGCAAACTACTGCTTTGTTTATACTCAAACACATTCATATATATGATGACCATGCAGCCTCTCTTGAAGTCAGTTCTGCATGGCACTTGCAACATGATGTAACCCAACAACAGTTACCATGGTGGCAGGCGTCTGGTCCAGGTCATTGACCTTATTTGTTTGGAGAAGAAGAAGAAGATGAAAAAGACGAAACAGAGCAAAAACAGTATGCTTCTGCCTTCCCCTGGCATGTAATCTCTCTATTTGACCAATTTCTACTCTTTCCAGTCTGCTACCAAAGCCAGGTAGTCTGGTAGAGGCTATTTTTACTGTGTACCACTGACCTTTACTGGGCGGCAGGTGGACGAAAGACTTCCTCCCCAGGTACAGGGCCAGCAGGGCCAGTAACATGGCGACTGTGGGGATCAGGTAGCCGATGTAGAAGTCCACCTCCTGCTGGATGTAGCAGATCGCCAGACACGCCATGGCCGACGCCACGTTCATCAACCAGATCCACCTGCACGTGCGGAAAGTATGGTGAATTCTTTTCTCCCCAACTTTATTGAGGTATACACCAGCCTGGTTACACAATCCTGGCTAATACATAGCTAGCGTAGTAGTAGAAGTAGACGTTTTTTCCCAGACAGTTGTTACCTGTCTCCTGTTACTGTGTAATGAGTATTATACTTGTATTATAATTATACTAGTATCGTAAAAGCAATTAGCCTTCGGGCATGATTTTGAAAGTTTCTATAATACATATACACTGGTCAGAACTAGTACACAGTGTATTAAACATAAGTCTTTTTTACCTTAACATTATTGTTCAATGCTATTACATCGAGACAGTGAGCAAAAGAAACCTTTTTCTGTACCATTTTGTTCACATTTTATTTATCGAAGATAACGCAAAAATGCTTACAAGAACTCCTCCACAAAAACACAATTATAACCAAACTACGTATTTACATTTCATAGGAACACATTTAAACAAAATTGTGCATACATTTTCTGTCTATCACTCACCAGTTGAAAAAAGACTGCAACTCTTGCTCCCCCAGATCTCTGAGTTGGTACGCTCCAAAGGCACTAACGTTAGCTTTAATGCCGCCGATACCAACTGAGATTAGGAGGAGTGCCAAGAGGAAGATCCCCTCCTTCTGAGGGTCCGTCAGGGTGTAGGGCGGGCTTCGGTGGTGTTCCAACAACTCGTCAAATGGGAACGCCATCACGGGAAGGAGGGCGGAACCTGGTAAGTCATGAAAAACGTAAATAAATTCCTTCTTTATCTATGAAATTCATTGAGCCACCTGTCAAATGTTTGGCCGGTGTGACCTGTCGCTGTCAGTTCGAAGCTTTGACTGTAATCATTCATTCATTCATTCATTCATTCATTCATTCATTCATTCATTCATTCATTCATCCATTCATTCATTCATTCATTCATTCATTCATTCATCCATTCATTCTCTTTGTAAATCATAATCACGAACTAAATTTATAACAAAGATACATCTTTAAAACACTGATTGTCAGAGGTATTATAGACATTATAGTGATATGACGATATTGATGTCTTATTACAGCTGACAAATTATTTCTGAGCAATATTGACTGTCTTACGTTTCTTCCTGTGTGGTGTTAAACTGACACAGTCAGTCCCGTGACAAGTGTGTCTATAGGGACAAGTGTAATCTTACACCAACACCAGTAAGGCCGAGCAATCCTAAATATAGTATACTCTTTATTCTTAGCTACTTAAGAATATTAACCTAAGACATGTCGAACAAGGATAGTCATCCAGTAATGAGATACACAAGAAAATTGTTACTCAAGAAACTGGCTAGGCTTTGAAAACTGTCAGACTGATAGCTTTAAACAATATTTAGAGTTTGAAGTCGATCCGGTGTATAGTCAGCTGCCGCCGCGCCGCGTGCCTGTGAAGCTGGTGTGTTACACGAAGGGCGGTTATACCGGCAGTACCGATACAGATACAGAAGCTGGTGTGTTACACGAAGGGTGGTTATACCGGCTATACAGATACACATCATACAGAAGCTAGTATGTTACGCCGAAGGGTGGTTACAGATACAGAAGCTGGTGTGTTACGCCTAAGGGTGGTTATACCGGCTATACAGATACAGATACGGAAGCTGGTGTGCTACGCCGAATGGCTGTTTTACCTCCTATATACATGTAGATACAGGTAGTCATACAAATACAGGTAACTTACCTAAGAAGTGAATTATTGCACTTATGACGATAACCTTCCACTTGCCCAGGTAGGAGTCTGCGACCCAGATCCCCAGCAGAGGCACGATCAGACTCATGCCGATAAACACATGACTAATGCTGACAGCCGTGGCACTAGTGTAGTCAAGTTCAACCGTACAGAACAACACCATGTTGGCAATGACACTGAAGAACGTGATCCTCTCCGCTAGTTCTACAAGTAGGATACAGATCGTCACTTGAAGCTTTGACGGTGTTGCCCCTGTTGTTGAGAGAGATCGGTCTAATTTTTTCGTCGCCCCTCCCCAAGGAAGGAGGGGTATTTCCTCTAGTGCTGAGCCTTCGCGTTCTCTTGTCGTGGTCGTCATGTCTAGAGACTGGCGATATTTTCGGTAAGTTTCGCCGCTCGCAAGAAATCCTGCCGACAAGCCGGACCGAGCCATGTTTTCTGCGACCCGTGAACAGTTTTTTAAACCAAGGATTAGCGGTTAATTCTCTTGCTCCTGTGGCCTACATCCTACATGCAGAGTGCGTACATGTTATGTAGGGAACGTTCACAGAAAAGAGGACAATAACAGCTAAATACTAGTAGTAACCTATGAATGGTCTTCCTGTATGTCAAAGTCGCTGGTGGACAGTCACGTTTTCCGCTGCACCTGTTCCGTCGAGGATCGAGGATAGCTGCAGAGCTTTGCGTTCAACCATGTCCACGGCTAGCACAGCTCACCACGCCATGAGTCCACCCAACATTCCTGCACGGGAGACTAGAGACCAGCCGAATCACAACAACAGGCGACATCCGCTCTTAGAAAAGGCAAGAAAACCGCAAAAAACGTCCAGGTTTCCTCTTGCTGCTACCTTTCAGTCTTTTCTGAAGCGGTAAAGTGTCGGTCAACAGCGTATTTGGCGGAGAAACATGGCTATCTCAGTATATGTATCCGCGACACAAGCGTACGTGTAACAGACGAGCCAGTATGTAGCGCGAAGACGTGTTAGGTTTTCCCAGGGAGGGTAGGAAGGATCAAGTTGGTGTTTTCTTCGCACTCAGCCGATGTTTGCCTAAGCCGGGACACGCGGTGTATGTAGTAAACCGTGCACGCCTAGCTTTTACAGGGGGCGTGAGGCTCAGTGGAGGGTCTGTACCTTGCAGTATCACTTCGTTTTAGCTACAAGAATAAGAAAGAAATACAGTACTAGATAGCACAAAAGATAGCTTGTATATCGCTAGTGTGTGTGTGTGTTATGAGTAAAGTTTGCCTAAGCTGGGGACACGCCTGGCAGTAAACCTTACACGCCTAGCTTTTACAGGGGGTGTGGGGCTCAGTATAGGGGTCTGTACCTTGGAGTATAACTTCGTTTTAGCGAAGAAAGGAAAGAAATACAGTAGATATCACGAACGGTAGCTTGTATATCGCTGGTGTGAGTGTGAGTGTGCCTCCCGGTGCCTCCCGGCGCGACGCTCCAGTGGTAAGGCCTGTGTACACTTCCTGTGTCCGCTCGCGTTACGCACAGGTCGGGTTTCTGTCGCACAAACCGGCATTGTACTACTCTCAAAGCAGAGGTTTGGGCTTTCGCTTATTTTTAGCGTGTTTTAGGCTTTTTTTGTCGGGCTTTCTTTTTCTTTAGAATGGTTTGTTTTTTGTGCCAGCAACACGCAAATAGACACCAGTACATAAAAGAAAGCCTGATAAAAAAAAGCCTAAAACACGCCAAAAATGAGCCAATAAGCCCAAACCTCTGCTTGGAGAGTAGCATTGTACCGGTTCCGAACTAATCTCCAAGCAGATATGCGGTGGTTGGGTCTTGGTTGTCCGTCGGCGTCTTTGTCAGCGTTTTGAACACAACATTATTGTATGTACACAAAGTTTAAAAGATTTTTCAGTAGCATCGCCTCTCCTAATAAAAGAACAACTGTCACAACAATTTATTGCAACAAGTCGGCATTTAATACCCCGTGGGTTGTGTTCAACCTAGTGTGATATAAATACAACGATGCAAGTACATACACACCAGGTCCTACATTTACTGCGTTTCGGCGTTTCTCTCTAAGAACATTTACGTACGAGTAACTTTGATTTTTGGCGCATAAACCAAGCCTTGCAACAAAATTCTCGTAAACTGTGCAACTTTCCAGAAGGAAAGTAGTCGACATGTAAGCCATGCCGATGTTTTTCTGCTGTGTCGCCAAGCTGACAATAGGCCAGACAGCGATATAGCTTTCTTCTTAACTCCTTATAGAATAAAACCTCTATAACACGACCATTGTACACGGTACAATATATAGCAACAACTATTGAACAAGTACAAAAATATTAGCCTCTACCAGGATTCACAGTTTGTTTGCGGAAAACTGTACTTTGTATTTGGCAAATTTCTACTCTTTCCAACCGCCCGCCCCCCACGAAGCCTGGTAGAGGCTAAAAAAATAAAATCAGGTCTGCTCCGCTGCAGTTCCGATATCGGCCAATAGGCATCGCTATTTGTATGATATAGCTTTCTTCTTAACCTCCTTACACTTAGTTATAGACGAACTTTATAGCATGACAATTGTACACAGTATAATGTATATCAACAATAACTTAATATAGTACAACCATTATAATCAGGTCTGCTCAGCTGCAGCTCCGATCTCGGCCAAAAGGCGTCGCGATTTGTATGTCTTGCAATATAGCTTTCTTCTAAACCTCCTTATACTTAGTTATAGTTACAGAAGAACTTTATAGATTTATTTATTTATTTCTGTTTTATTTAAACAGGGTAGAGACCTCAGTGCTATTTAAAAACACTGCTTTTCAGGAATGCCCTGTGACAACAAGTTACGAAAACAATGAAACCAACACATTAAACAATACATACCGTTACAAAACAACCAAGCGTCAAAACAAAATCATTAACCGTAAATCAGTGTCGTTAAGCCAGGCCAAGGTCAGGAGGTTAGAGGTCAGCAGTGTTGTTTCAGGTCTGCTCAGCTGCAGTTCCGATGTCGGACAGTAGGCGGCGCCTTTTGTACGTCTTGTACTTGTACCGCTGTGCGAGGAAGACGAAGAACAGGGTGTTGAGGAGCATGAACACGGCCAGGAAGAGGAAGAACCATTCCGCACGGCCGTCATTCAGTTCCACCGGGAACCACCGCTTTCCGGTCATCCTGTCTGCAAATACAGAAACAAGAATATATATATTTTTTTATATATCAACATTTCATGACTAGACAGGGTGGCGGCACACTCAAGTTATATCAACTTATTTTATGCCGTCACCAACGCAAATAGAGGACAAATACCCAACAGGACAATCCTCATTTTCACTTAAGAAAAGCCGTGTAAAGTGCCTTTCCCAAGGGCACAAGATCGCATGTCATGTCAGGACTCGAACCCGGGACCTCTTGGTTCCGAGTCAAGCACTCTGCCGCTACGCCACACGACCCCACGAACAAGCATATTTCCTAAGAGGGCTGAAAGAGGCTATTTACATCAGGGCCCACCACCCTTCACTCAACCGCGACGGGGGCCGACATCGTCTACCAGATACCTTTGACCCAATGTTGACGTCACACATCAAAGAAGCCACGTGACAAGTCTCACTGGGTCATACTACTGAGGGAGACCAGAGTGACTGGTCAAAAGCTCTAGGTGAGAGAACTTTCTTGTGTTGGATCTAAAATTTCAACTTTAAACAAGACTTCATTAAGCTTACAGTTTATAATTGGACACACATTATAATACATAATATAAACTGAAATAAATAAGTAAAATGTGCTATACATAGCTACTCACAACTGATGGCGTTGAAGAGAGAGGACAGTCCCAGGCTGACGTAACTTCCCAGTCCCCACATAAGTAGCAGTAGTCCCATCACAGTACCTCTGGCCCGCAAAGGAGCCTGGGTATAGGCGAAGTAGTACCCTGTAGAGAAAACGAAGAACTTCAGAAGAACAAAGATGTACAGTATCATTTTATAGCTACTAATAATGAACTACTACAAAATGTAACCCAACACTACAGGCTGTCTGCTACAATGCTAATTACCATGGTGACAGACGTCTAGGCCAGGTCATTGACTTTGTTTGGAGAAGAAGAAGAGGAAGAAACAGAGCAAAAACAATATGTTTTCCTTCTATACCTGAAGTCAAACAAAGCAAAAGGTGAATAAATGAAAAAAGTGAATAGACAAAAAACAAGTACCTGTAACCATAGTCATGACTTCGCTCATGCCGCTGAGTAAAAACTGCGGGATCTGTACGAACACAGTCATGTCTGCAGCCTGTATGGTGTGTCTGCTGATGTGCTGGGTCACGCAGTTCCCTTCCTGCACCTGGACATATCAACTTCTATACGTTAATCAAATAGATATATTTTTGTTAGTAAAATGTTGAACTTTATACCAACACAAATAGTACACAGAAATCAAATTTTCAACGACCACTGTCGCCTTCATCAGGATAATGAATGACTAGATATTTTGTTGTATCGCTTGTTGTTTATTTGACTTCAATTATTTTGATTATTGAGTTCCGTTTACGTTAGTCTTATGTTAATTCTATTGATAGTGCATTCCGTTGTTGTATTTAATTGATATAGCGATAGTTCACTTTCTTTTTGTATCTGTTAACTGTATCCGTTCATCTTGTTTTGATGTGACCTGTACTTAGCCCAGTGTGGCATGTGCTAAAAATGTGCAATAATGGTCATTCGTCATTCATTCATATATTTTGTATTTTTTGTGTGGACTCCAGGAAGTATAGTGAATGTATTCACTAATGGAGATCTCAATAAAAACAAACAAACAAACAAACAAACAAACCTGCTGACGGCGGTAGACTTCCACCAGAGCGGCCGCCACGATAGAGCCTACAGACAGGAGCATCCCGATCCCTGGACACGCAATTAGAAAATTTAAAAAAAATCAGGTCGCATAATGTCCATGTCCATCATAGATGCATAAAGCCCACTCATGTAGAAAATGTTTGGTCGCATAACATAACCCTGAATGCATAGCGTCCACTCATTCAGTTGTTATAAGCAGGATAGCATGGTTATAGCATTCAAGGACAAAATGCGTTTCCATGTACATGTATATGTGCTCTAAGGCCTCTTCTTGCACATCTATGTTTAATGCGTTTCTGTTAGGTTTATCACACCAAACTTCAAACACTAAAGCAATGTGCACCCACCCATGCGCTCCAAAGACGTGAGTTCGCGACCCATCCGTGCCATCCAGGGGTACACCAGCCAGTGCATGACGGGAATCATCAGCAGAATGGTCGCGGCGTTGAAAACATTCAGGAAGACGCCGTCCATCCCTTCAGTACCGCCGAACTTCGGTAGGCGGAGCCGCTGGCTTTGGAACAGGAAGGTGGTGCGCATCTAGAATAACGAAAACAACAGTTACTATAGATAATATTGAAATATTATAGATAATATAGAAAGGTAGTATTTCCAAAGCAAATGCACAATGTCTACCTTCGCATATGGTCTGCTGTGTTAATTCATAGTCAAACACATTTATATGGTAAGTCTAAATTCTTCCTGCTATAAAATTGCATTATGTAACCCGACACCTGTTACCATGGCGACAGACGTCTGGTTCAGGTCATTGACCTTATTTGCTCGGAGAAGAAGAGGAAGAAGAAGAGGAAACAGAGCAAAAACAATATGCTCTTCTGCGAAGGTAAACATAAAAGTTGTCAAGGCACACTATAGCAGCCCGATGCTGCGAACGTCTTTTCAAGCACAGGACGTGCCGACAAAACCATGGATGACAACATCTCTATCATGCTACGTAAAAACATAAAATGAAGGTAACTATAAAAGGAAAACTAGAAAGGTAACATTTGAAAAGCAAATGCATAACATTTACCTTCACCTGGTCTAGTCCAACAAACCACTACTCTGTTTATTCTTACTCAAAGCCAAATACAGTCATTCATGTATTCCAATCAGGCTCTCCAACTCTGTTCTGCTACACAATGTAACCCAACACCACAAGTTACCATTGTGACAGACGTCTGGCCCAGGTCATTGACCTTATGTGTTTAAGGAAGAGGAAACTGAGCAAAGGCAATATGTTTCTCTTCGGTAAACATAACTAACCTGGGAATACAGTGTAAAGTACAAGATGAGGCACAGAAAAATCCACAGCAGACTGAAGAGTTGTTTTACGTCATCCACTTCCTCTACTGCGCGACTTTCGTTTGCCCTGAAAATATCATCAGTGAAAAGATAAAAATGAGTGAAGAACAGTCAGTTCACAGTCAATTTTTTTCTGAAACAAAGACGTAACAGTATTGATGATCTTTCAGAATGTTGACCCCCTTTCTAGACACCGGACGCAACTATTTTACAAGAGGAGTGAAGGAGGCCAGGGCACACCTACCGAGACGGGGGCGGGACCGACTTCCAACGAACTTTGACCCAGCGCTGACGTCACACGTGTCTACAGCACTTGGGTCAGGAAGTTGATGGAGACCGAGAGATTCGGTCGAAAATTCCGGTGAGTCAAATTCTTTAGTTTAATTTTCATTGTGTAACTTACCAGCTCAGATGAACTTCCATACTACCTGAATTTCATTCTTCGCCAAATCGTATTGTTCAATATTTCCTTCGTTTGTAATATTACCATTTAATTTTGCTGTGTTTACTTACTGTTATTTTTCATATGTTCTCTAGATCTTTTTACCGTTCTTCTTCTTCTTATTATTATTATTATTATGCTTTTAATTGAAATGGGGGAGGACTAGGATAAGCCCTTAGGCTTCTTTTTCTCCTCCAGCACATTCATTTTGTTTAGGTTAATTATTCTATATTCTGTTTCGTTCGATTAGTATATTCACTTATACTGTATTGTTTTTGTTTAATGTATGTGCACATAAAAATGAACGAAAAAAAATAAACAAATGCTGATATAATGTAAGTACCTGTCGAGCCAGCGCTCCATCCATCCACCGGAAGCACGCTGCCGGGGCCGCTGTGCATGCCGGGAGGCGCGGAGGATCCCCCCTACAATACTCAGTACCTCCTCTGGAAGGGGGGGAGGGGGCACCAAACATATTTATGACAGATGCTGTAGTATATGGTAGAGGGGATTAATTTGCATAACCAGCAAGCATTGATTATGCAAATTAGAATTTCATTTGCATAATTAGGATCTCAATATTTTTTTATTCCAACATTTTATGACCAAACATGGCGACGGCACGCTCAAGTTATATCAGCTTATTTTATGCCGCCACCAACACAGAGTACAAATACAGGACAGGACAATACTCATTTTCACTTAAATAAGTCTAAAGTGAGGAAAGTCGTGTAAAGTGCCTTTCCCAATCTCAATATTATCACGAGCATACCTTTCTCTTCGTCCGGTGCGTACCATCGCTTCCCGATCACAAACACGACTCCGGCTAGGAATACTGCCAGGCAGATGACCACATAGCCGTGGAGGGAATTGATTTCTTGTAGGTAGGCCACCCCTAAATCAGCGATGGCAGCTCCCACATTGATGCACCAATAGTACCTGACAATGACATAACGTAATATCACATGTATGTATTGGTCAACTTTCAGACAACACTGTAATACGTCTGTAATGTTGATACGTCAGTAAAAAATGAATTTTGAATTTGAAATGTGTGTGTGTTGGTTTGCTTTTCTGTTCGTAAAGGTTTTTAAAAATATTCCAACATGTAATCACAAGACGTGGTGACGGCACACTGAAGTTTTTTTCAACTTATGTTAATGCCTCCACCAACACAAGGGACAATACAATACTCATTTTCACCTGAGCGAAGTGAGGAAAGTTGTGTAAAGTGCCTTTCCCAAGGACACAAGATCGTTGGCATGTCAGGACTCGAACCCGGGACCTCTTGGTTCCGAGTCGAGCACTACGCCACGCCACGCCACACGACCCCACATAGGCTTGAAGTTAATTTTGAATTAAGATTTGAGTTGATTTGAGCCCTAATTTCCTCACCAGTGAAAGTACGCCTTGAGTCGTCGGTTCAGGTTCTCGCTGAAGTCCCCCAACTGTCCGGCACCGTACAGACCCAGGTTGGACTTGCTTCCTCCGGTCCCCACGGCCACTAGACACAGACCCGTCACGTACAGCGACACAGGTACAGCCGGCGGCTGGTCGTGTCCACAGAAGTACGACGATAAAATCAAGAACACTGTTCCTGTGGAATTATGATCAAGGCGTTGTGAGCGTTTAATTTGCACACAGAAATATTCTGGATGAGGAAATCTTTGATACTGACATTTTCTTCCACTTCCTAACACATTTTTTTGTCATCATTTCATGCTTCAAGCGTTTGAAATAACTTAACCCCGAAATAAGCTAGGGAAGGAGTCTTTTACTTTTGGACCCACCCATAAATAGCAAGAACCAGCCTACGATACAAAACAAGCAACCGTTTTCCGTCAGCGACATCACATTTCTGGCTCAGAAATATCAGTATACTATGAGATGCTACGAGATTAAATCAACCTGTATACTGTCTTAAAAGATTGACCAGAAAATTGACTCTGGTTTGCCGCCCTGAAATTGCATTGGATGCCTTTATACATCATTAAGACACGAACCCTTCACAGTACGCCCACGGAAAGGCGTAGAGTGGGTGGAAGTTCCTCAAACTGCCAGAGATAATCAAGTCTTCGTGCCGCATGGATCACATTAGCTAAGTTTAACCACCCGTCTCATTTGGGGAATTAGCGTTCCTTCATCACGCGATGAAGTTTTGTACATGAATAATCTTGGTCTCCACCAGACTTCTTTGCAGGTTGAATAAAAAGTAGAAATCGGCCTACAACGAATATAACTGACCAAGGGAGTTGGTCGTGCAGGCATATTGGACCCTCCATGGCCGGCTAACTCCCCTGGCGAGTTATATTCCTTTTTTTTTTGCCGATTTCTACTATTTATTAGTCTGCAAAAAGTCTGATGTAAGAGACTAGAATAATCGCACAGGTGCGCAAACAAATGCGACTGTGTGAATCCGATATCAGGTGTTTGCAATGGGTTAATAAATGACATGTTGGCTGAAATGCAAAAGTGAAAGGGGTCTGAGGCCGTTGAGGGAGAAATAACATGATCATTTATGTTGTGACATGCGATAGTCCATGGCCTTAAGCCATTGGCGCCCACGCACATCAGGTTAGTCACAATCACAAGGCCACACTTCCTTATCTGCTACAATGCATTATGTACATGTAAATCCCTGTCACACACTCAGAACCTTTCCCCAAACACCAGCCGACCAAGTTTGACTGAAGTTCGGGAGCAGTCGCATAGACCATATTTAGGCCACGCCTGCCTTTCTGTACGAATCGAATCAAGTTTGAGATAAATTTGAGTCAAAATTGGACTGCCAACCATGCACGCCCCGACCTACCGAGTCCCGACCACCAGCCAACCACCAGACAACCATGAACAGATACAGCTTTATAATATAAACAAAATGAAACCAGATATCGTTACATAAATTCAACTTCTCGCTTTTCAGTTATTGTAGAAATAAAAGAAGTGATCTGTTTTTTCGAGGGAACGTTTGTCTAGTTGCATAAGGAATATGAATTTTTCTACAGTGCGATAACAATGTATGGATGAATCAGTGACATCTCCCGCCCTATACCAGTCATAACATCATGGCGGCTTAATTTGTCTGGGAAAAGTTAGCCTCCATAGCATGCCCAAAACTGGGGGTTTGGGGGGTCTTCTGGGTCTTTAGGAGCTTTTATGTGCCATTTTCTGATTGCATATAGACAACATAGCCGCCTGGTTGAATCACCCCCGTTTTTTAGAACCGGGATGATCAGAAAACAGCCGAAGATCACCAAACCCCCAGTTCTATAAGCCTAGCGCCTGCAACGGAGGCTATGGAAAAGTGTGAGGCAACCACTCACCCACAAAGTACACCCCCAGGCTGCCTAGAATGGTCCAGAAGCGACTGAGTACGGCGTCCGCCAGCCAGCCTCCGACAATAGTCAGCACGTAGGCGAAACCTAAGGACAGGGTTATAACAGGACTACTGATACTAATCTAACATTTAAGGATGTTAACATTATTTCTTGTTTGGTACTTTGCAGTTAGGTTTCTTTATCTATGTGTGTATAACGTCTGTATTTGTGGGTCATCTACTGCCAGTTTCGACTGCCTTGATGACCCGTGTACTGATGTGTTGTCAGTCCCCAAAAGTAAAAGTACAGTAACATCAGTTCTAAAACTACTCTAATACAGAAGCCGAACCTCTGTATAAGAGTGGTTTTAGAGCTAATATTGTTAGATTAGTATCAGTAGTTCTGCTTGTACTACAACATATACCTTTGAATCTGCTTGCCTGTACTTTGCCCGATAGGGCACAAATGTACTCGTACAATAAAGGTTATCTGTCAAATGTCGGTGGAAGTTCCAGGGCAAGCTAGCCATCAAAGCTTTTTATCTTCCCCCTCTGAGTATATCCACGTTTGCTCAAACTACTCTCTTTTGTTATGTTCATACTAATTTTACTATATTCCCAATTTACTACATGCTCATTATTTACTCTTTGCAAAATAAAACAAACAAACAAACAAAACAAAACAAGCCGCCAAAAATCTAATTATTTCGAGGTCTCATTTACCCACCAAATATCAGGACAATCCATCCAAGCCTTCTTCAGTTATCTTGTTTACAGACGGACACACAGACACACTCATACACACAGACACACAGACACACACACACACACACACACACAGACACATACACACGCACACACACACACGGACACACACACACACACACACACACACACACACACACACACACACACACACACACACACACACACACACACACACACACACACACACACACACACACACACACACACACACAAACTGACACGCCACCGAAAACATAACCTTCTTGGTAAAACAAACAAACAAACCCGTAAAGATGTAGGTGAATGTTGTGGGCTCGTGGTACAGCCGGGGGAAGCATAGTGAGGTGGTAAACAGTGCCATGTTGGACACTATCCCGTAGTACGCCACCCTTTCGCACAGTTCGCTCAGGCCGATGATTAGACTCGTCTTGTAGAAGCGGGGAAACCGCCCGACATTTTGCTGATCATCTTGTTGTACCGTCGCCATGTTGTTGTTTGATCGGGCGCTATAATAATCCTTCCCAGAATGCGAAACTGCACGATTGTGAAAGTGACTGGCTGCCGGCGAAACTGTACTGCCGGTTTCGGGCGCTGGCAGGGTTTATTGGTGTTTCACTTCCGGTGCGCACGCCAGTCGTGACGTTGAGATTTTTACTCAGCAAAACAATTTTAAAGACGACGGCCTTGAGCGGTGGAAGTATAGTACAGTTAACGTTTCCTCGCGATGACTATGTTTTATTTTTGTGTGTGGGTAAGGCCATGTTGATTTGATTATACGGATGACATCCGCGCGCGCATGAATTTTCGGCTGTTTAAAAAAAAAAAAGAAGTTTTCAACCATACTGTAAATCGTAGCAAGTAGTTGGAAAATTAGTAATATATACCTTAAGTTGCACAAAAAAATTGGAAAACGATACCAATGTCGTAGAATATCAAACAAAAAAGACGAAAATGCACAGAAATGAATTTGAAGAGTAGATTATCCGCCATACCATACTCTTTTTTTTATTCGCACGCTCGCGTTAGTTTTGGGGTTCCCAGAGGATGTCATCCATATAATTAAATCAACATGGCTTAACAGGGGATAAAGGCAACAAATATCTACCAATAATAACCCTCCTGAGCAGATATAATTGCCAATTTTCGGTATCTTGACAGCTGCCAAACTAACAAAATTACTTTTTTTTCCAAAATTAGGCGAAAATTAATGCGCGCGTTGATGTCATCCTTAAAAAACTTGCTACTACCCTCTTGCCACTCGCCAATTGACCTTTTCCCCCGAATTCTACCATCCAAAATCCCTAAGGTTTAGGCCTGGTGGAGGCTAGACCTAAGTAACATTGCATCACGTGCGCAAAGGTGAGGAGATAAAAGATAAGAGCCGGTGGTTGCCATGTAGCCTCTGCCAGGCTTGGGGAGGCGGCTGGAAAGAGTAGAAATCGGCCAAATAGAGAGATAATTAAAGCATGCCAAGGGAGTTTGTCCGTTGAGATAACAGTTCGCCGCACCCCAAGCCTGTCGGGAGTCGCCATTTCTTTGAAGTCTACTAATCGCTATCTTATAGGTGCCACGTAGCTAAATTACACTTTTGAAGTCTACTAATCGCTATCTTATAGGTGCCACGTAGCTAAATTACACTTTTATTGCTTGGCGACTCCCGACAGGCTTGGGGTGCGGCGAACTGTTCTCTCAACGGACAAACTCCCTTGGCATGCTTATCTCTCTATTTGGCCGATTTCTACTCTTTCCAGCCGCCTCCCCAGGCCTGGCAGAGGCTAGTTGCCAGGCACACGGTCGTCATGTGACTCCTACTCACGTAGTTAGGAGGGGGAGGGTCACCTAATGTTATTAGAGAATGCCTATAGGTAGCCGTGGCGACTCTTGACTCGGGCTTACATTGCATTACCCTCAGCAAGAGTCGTGGAAAGATCCATTGGCAGAACTGCACATTTCCCGTTGGCTGCTCGATGCTCCGTTTTTGACCCGTTTTTTTGCTGTCCCGAGCTTCCCTACAATATAACTCCACAATTGGCCGGGTTGCCGATGTTCAGATCGGCCTAAATATTCCACAGCGCGACGGGAAAGTACTAAAATAGCTAGTCGGTACATCCGCGCCGCCATTTTGGATATAGTCGGGAATGTCCGCTACCGCCGTCGGGAACGCTCGGTAGGCTTTCCGGTTATGATCGGAGAGTTTTCGGTCCCGCTTCGGTAATCGTGGCGCTACCGAGCGTTCCCGACGGCGGTAGCGGACATTCCCGACTATATCCAAAATGGCGGCGCGGATGTACCGACTAGCTATTTTAGTACTTTCCCGTCGCGCTGTGGAATATTTAGGCCGATCTGAACATCGGCAACCCGGCCAATTGTGGAGTTATATTGTAGGGAAGCTCGGGACAGCAAAAAACCGGGTCAAAAACGGAGCATCGAGCAGCCAACGGGAAATGTGCAGTTCTGCCAATGGATCTTTCCACGACTCTTGCTGAGGGTAATGCAATGTAAGCCCGAGTCAAGAGTCGCCACGGCTAGCCTATAGGGTGTGCTGCGTATTCCGTATGCTTTATTCCCGTCCCTAGTGTAGGACAAACAAACACTGTAAGTGCCTGTTCAAGTCGGCTTAGTGCGAAACCCAGCAATGATTGATTGATTGATTCTTGTGCAATGTGCATGCCCTCCCCCGGACGCACAATGTACCATCCCTCACGTGAGGTCAAAGGTCCCAAACCCGGAAGTCTGTCGAAGTGATGAGATGCTACTCCCACCCGGATTCAGTTAAGACGTTATAATTCTCAAACCATGGCTTGACAAGGGAAAAAGATGGACTTTGCTGATAAATAACTGTGCAAACGTTCGTTTTTAACCTGTTTTCCGCCACTGTGAGTATCGAATCGAGTTGTTTTTGTTGTTCTAATGTTTAACGTCTTAATATCTTGCTTGACGTGGTCTCTTGGTGCTGGTTTGGGCATGGTTCAGCTTTAGTTCAGAGTCAAATTGTATCTCTAGATTGTTCTTATCCCTGTTTTGACGTCTATTTTTTTTCGGTAGACCAGGGGTGCCAGACTATACAGTGCAATTTTACTAGTATACAGTGCAATTTAATATATTAGTAAAATTGTATACTAATACGATTGCACTGTATTCCGTAAAATTGCACTGTATACTAATACATTATTGTACTGTATTCCGTAAAATTGCACTGTATACTAATACAGTTGCACTGTATTCCGTAAAATTGCACTGTATACTAATACGATTGTACTGTATTCCGTAAAATTGCACTGTATACTAATACAATTGTACTGTATTCCGTAAAATTGCACTGTATACTAATACAATTATACTGTATTCCGTAAAATTGCACTGTATACTAATACGATTGTACCGTATTCCGTAAACTTGCACTGTATACTAATACGATTGCACTGTATTCCGTAAACTTGCACTGTATACTATATACGATTGTACCGTATTCCGTAAAATTGCACTGTATACTAATACAATTGTACTGTATTCGGTAAACTTGCACTGTATACTAAATACGATTGCACTGTATTCCGTAAAATTGCACTGTACACTAATATACGATTGTACTGCATTCCGTAAAATTGCACTGTATACTAATGTATTCCGTAAAATTGCACTGTATACTAATACGATTGCACTGTATTCCGTAAAATTGCACTGTATACTAATACAATTGCACTGTATTCCGTAAAATTGCACTGTATACTAATACGATTGTACTGTATTCCGTAAAATTGTACTGTATACTCTGGCACCCCTCTTTAGACGTGGACTTTAATATACTAGTAAAATTGCACTGTATACTAATACGATTGCACTGTATTCCGTAAAATTGCACTGTATACTCTGGCACCCCTTTAGACGTGGACTCTCGAATAGACGCATGGAGAGCCAGACGCCCCTCCTACCGCTACCAGCGACCCTCCAGCCCGGCGCTTCGGCGTCCAAATGGGCGGTGGCTTGCGTCATGCTCACCGAACTGTTCGAACGCGCCGCGTTCTTTGGAATCTCGGACAACATGGAGATCTTCTGCGAGCTGCAGTGTTTTCCCGCCAAGTATCACGATCCCTTGAAGTTCACCTGGATCTTCTCGGGTTTCGCCTATGCCATGAACATAGTCGGCGGCTGGCTGGCCGATACCACTTTGAGGAGGTTCTCGGCGATACTGTCTAGTCTTGTCTTCTACACCGCAGGTAGGTTTTCACTAATAATACTATGAATAGTAACGTTACTCTCTTAGTTCGAGCTCCCGGTCCAAAAAGCCTCCTCCATAGCACTTTGTGCTCCATGGCTCTTCGTAACTCGTCGGTATCATGCAGGTTTGTATTGCTGCATGTACTGAGATTGTCTAAGTAGGTGAGAGTCACCTACGTAGACAGTCTATTAAAGTCTTCCCTTACGCGATGAACATAGTCGGTGGGTGGCTGGCCGACACCACACTGAGGAGGTTCTCAGCGATACTGTCCAGTCTTGTCTTCTACACCGCAGGTTGGTTTTCACTAATAATAACGTTACTATTAATTATAACGTTACTCACTTAGTTCGAGCTCAAGTCCAAAAAGCCTCCTCCATAGCACTTAATCCTCCGTGGCTCTTCGTAACTCGTCGGTATCATGCAGGTTTGTATTGCTGCATGTACTGAGATTGTCTAAGTAGGTGAGAGTCACCTACGTAGACAGTCTATTAAAGTCTTCCCTTACGCGATGAACATAGTCGGTGGGTGGCTGGCTGACACCACTTTGAGGAGGTTCTCAGCGATCCTGTCCAGTCTTGTCTTCTACACCGCAGGTAGGTTTTCACTAATAATACTATGAATAGTAATGACGTTACTCACCTACTTCGAGCTCCGGGTCCAAAAAGCCTCCTCCATAGCACTTTGTCCTCCACAGTGGCTCTTCGTAGCTCGTCGGTATCATGCAGGTTTGTATTGCTACATGTACCTAGATTGTCTAAGTAGGTGAGAGTCACCTACTTAGACAGTCTAAGTCTTCCCTTACGCGATGAACATAGTCGGCGGCTGGCTGGCTGACACCACTTTGAGAAGGTTTTCTGCGATACTGTCCAGTCTTGTCTTCTACACCGCAGGTCGGTTTTCACTACTGTGTGACTAGCCTGCACCAGGGCTGAGAACTTAATTGACACAACAAAAGTACACGACTTATGTCTATAACTGAACCTAATAGTATACAGACAGACAGAAACGTGGGTAACAAAAGAATTGACCTACGTACAAGACTATGGATGAAGGAAAGTTATACTACTTGTTCCAAGGTCTAAACATTCTCTGATATATTTACCTATTTGTAAGGGTTATTGCCTTCTGGAATGAAGTTGAATTTATATAACATCTGTGTCCATAATATCACCAGGGTCCATAATATCGCCACCTTGAGAAAAAGTGTGCTTAAAGATATTTTTACTGCAACATACCCTAGGTATGTACATTTGAGGTGTGCAGGAGTGCATACCAAAAGTATGTTACAGTAAAATATCTTTAAGCACACTGTTTCTCAAGGTGGCCATATTATGGACCCTGGTGATATTATTGACACGGATGTTATAGCATGAAGTAACAAAGGGGGTTAGATGGTGGAATTCGGCAAAAATAAGGTCTGACCACTAGAAAGGCTCAAAACGTCAGTATTTTTCTATAACACAATAAATTATTGTATAATCCATGATACACATGTGATTCTAGGAACCCTGTTTCTCGTCGGGTCTGCCCAAGCGTGTGACGCCACTAGCCATGAAGAGACCTCGGTCCCAGCTCTATACGTCACGGGGCTGTGCCTGGTGGTCCTGGGAACGGGAGGCAGCCAGTCCAACCTGGGCCTATACGGAGCCGAGCAGTTCAGGGACACTGGGGACGAGACTGAGCAGGAGAGAAAAGTCCATCGGTACTTCCTTTGGTAAGAACATGTCTGTGTTTGAAAATTTGTTTCTTTTCCTCCTATCTTTCCTGTGTAGTCCTTTCAACGCTCGGTAACAATATGTATGAATGATTCCGGAAAAAAAAGAGAAATATTGTTGTGCGATAAAGTGTTTCTTATGTGTGTGAATGAATGAATGAATGAATGAATGAATGAATGAATGAATGAATGAATGAATGAATGAATGAATGAATGAATGAATGAATGAATGAAAGGGAAATGAATGAATGATGAAATTTTATTATCGCGTCTTGCGACAAGTCTTTGTCGCCCAGCCTATATGGGCTTATAAGACACCAGAAATCACAAAAATATAAGTACAGAAGTCACCAACATTAATCAAATATTATGTGTGTTTGCAGGTACTACTGGTGCAGAAACTTTGGCTCCGTCATTGCCTACACACTAGTGACGTACTACCTGTACCAGACAGACCACCACGTCTACGGCTACGCAGCTATCAGTGTGGCTGTGGCTCTGGCCGCCATTTTCTTTGCGTCAGGATACAAGCGTTACCGACAAGAGCCGCAGAAAGGTTCGTCTACTGAACTATATGTTCTGCCGTATCGTGATCTACTACTAACCTCTTTCGCAGACTTCTGATGCGGCGGCGTTACTAGTAATTTTTTTCGGGGAGCGACGCGAGTTATGCCGCTGAGGGACGGTTTTGCCGGAGAGAGACGGTTTCTTCGCATGCTTTAAGGTGTGCGTAAAAAGTTGGATTTGTGCAGTGTAGATGCATAGCTTCTAGACGTATTCAGTGTTATATGCTTAATATGTCAAACTCAATCATTATAGGAGGATTTCTTTCTGTGCAATGCTTACAGGATGCATCGAGTGGTTGGATGGATTTTCTGAAGATTCGTCCGAGAATTTATTGCCTGGGTTATTTTGTATCACGTAATATCTACTACACGTATGTCTAACCTTCATTGTGAATAGTACTAAATGTATTTTCCAGTAGGCGCAGAAAAAGCATACAAAAATTATAATTTCCTTTTTTTTTTCAGAACAAGTGTTTAAGATCTTAATCGGGATAGTGAGCAATCGACCAGACACCAGTCAACAGAACAGGCACGTGTCTAGAACGAGGGACGAGTCCTACAACAATTCCGGATCCGGTGATAACAACACACAAGACAGGGATCTGTTGAGGTGGCTGGACAGGTAAGGTTCTTCCTGTCTTACCGAGCGCAATGTTGGTGCTTAATGACTCTATATATCATTGATTAACTTATTTTTTCGGTAGCCCTTGTACTGTGTATATGTGAGTCTGCGTGCGTGCGTGCGTGTGTGTGTGTGTGTGTGTGTGTGTGTGTGTGTGTGTGTGTGTGTGTGTGTGGTTCTATAATTCGAAAAGCTTTGGATGGATTGTCATGAAACTTATTAGGTGATAAGGTATTGATGAGACGTAGAAATATTAGATTTTGGCCCCCTTGGCGGCATGTAATCTCATATTTACTGCGGACTAGGCCGAAGGTTTAGAAAAAAGCCAAAAAAGTTGCGTACTGAGCATTCAATATGTAGAAAATGATCACAGCTCTTCACATCATTGTCCTGGCTTCTTCCAGGGCCAAACGTAGCAGAGGAGGAAGATACCCGGATGAGGAAGTGGACGACATAAAACAGCTGCTGAGCATCCTGGGAATATTTCTCACCATGCTGGTGTACTTCACCCTCTACTGTCAGGTACGTTTCGACTTTCTTTCTCCATTTCCTTACAAAAGTGAATTTTGGAACATCTCAATCCTGTGTTGATGCCTCTGGTACTTGAAGGCATGCCTATTTAGACGTTAGAAATTCCTGCAATGAATTATTGTAGAAGCTCATCCTATACTAGCCGCACACTCTTGTATTAGTTAGGTTAGCCTTATGAAATTGTAGTAACCCCCGTTCCAGTAGATGCCATTCTTTGTACCCTGTACAAATGGTGTGCAGTCATTTTACTCTCAAAGTTTATCCGTGTTGGTAGTTACATGTTTAAAGTTAGAACTTTGGATCCCTCACAAAGAATGGTTCTCACCTAGAGCTTTCGACCAGTCACTCTGGTCTTCCTCAGCAGACTGACCCAGTGAGACTTGTGGCTTCTCTGAAATGTGACATCAACACTGGTCAAAGAAGCCACGTGGTGAGCCCCACTGGGTCAGTCTACTGAAGAAGACCAGAGACAGTGACTGGTCGAAAGCTCTAATTAGCTAAGTTAGAACTATTCTTTGTCTTGGATCCAAACTTTTCACAATAAATATTTCATATTAAATATTAAAATTTCACATATTATTTTATTCTTCAGATGTCCACAACATACCGGATCCAGAGCCGTTACTTGAGGCTCCCGACGCTCGACAAAGACGACTATTTCTTCTCCACAATCATCGTGTCCCTGATCAACCCTGTCAGTATCCTGCTGATGGTGCCGCTCATGGACCTGGTGGTGTACCCGTGTCTCAGCAAGGTGGGCTGGCGGCCCACATACCTACAACGCATGGGTACGTACACGTAAAATTATGATCATTATTATAACTAGAAATATTATTATAACGTAGACATAAAATTATGATCATTATAATAACTAGAAAGGTGCCTCCTGCTGATGGTGCCGCTCATGGACCTGGTGGTGTACCCGTGTCTCAGCAGGGTCGGCTGGCGGCCCACCTACCTGCAGCGCATGGGTACGTAGACGTAAAATTATGATCATTATCATAACTAGAAAGGTGCCTCCTGCTGATGGTGCCGCTCATGGACCGGGTGGTGTACCCGTGTCTCAGCAGGGTGGGCTGGCGGCCCACCTACCTACAGCGCATGGGTACGTGTACTTTAGGCCACACCAATTTAATTTGTTGGTTCTCAGCATCCTGCTGATGGTCCCGCTCATGGACCGGGTGGTGTGCCCGTGTCTCAGCCGGGCGGGCTGGCGGCCCACATACCTACAGCGCATGGGGACGTACACGTAATCTCCAAGCAGATCTTTCGGTGGCAAGACAGTATCCATTGGCGCGTGGCCAGAGGAGTGTCTGTTGGATACAGGACGGCCAATGGATACAGGACGGCCAATGGATACAGGATGGCCAATGGATACAGGATGGCCAATGGATACTGTCTTTTGCCACCCAACCGAAAGATCTGCTTGGAGATTACGTACATGTAAAATAATACTGTATAGCCATTTAATATTGCAGTTTAAAATCATAGCGGTCGGATGAAAATGGAGTACACCATAGCACTTAATTTAAGCGGTATGATTGTGGCAGAAAAAATACATGAAAACCCTGGCCCCTGGCCTTTTCTGTACTGATCGAATCGAATTTGAGTTGAATTTGGGTCAGATTTGACCTCCCAAACACGCCCCACGATGATGTTCCTGTACCTTTCAATGATTATCCTGATGAAGGCAACAATGATCGTTGAAAATTTGATTCTTGTGTACCCTTTGTGTTGGAATAAAGTTTATCATCGTACTTTCCCCACCTTAGGTGTTGGGATGTTTCTGTCCATGTTATCCGTGACTGCAGCCGGAGCGGTTGAGGTGTACCGCGGGACGGTCCACCAGCAGGGCCGGGTGGTGCACCAGAACATCAGCGGGCAGGTCTGTACGCTGTACCTGTATCTGTATAGCCGGTATAACCGCCCTTCGGTGTAACACACCAACTTGACAGGCACACGGCGCGGCGGCAGCTTTCTACATTACATCGAAAGACTTGTTACACCTAACCTGTGTCTGTAACTTTATAGCCTGTATAACCGCCTTTTGGTGTAACACACCAGCTGGGTGTTACCCTTGAACATCTACCTCTAAACATTGTTCAAAGCTATCTAACGGTAATGCCCATACTGTACTTGGTGACAGCGAGTTCCACTCTGCGATAATTCTAGGAATGAATGAATGAGCGCCTCAATCCTTGATTGATAACTCCCAGACTGGTACTTGAAGGCATGGCTATTTCTTGTTCTTTTCCACAAGGTGTACAACGCCACGGACCTCTCCGTCTTCATACAGGTACCTCAGTTCTTCCTCAGCGGCCTCAGCGAGATCATGGCTGTCGTCACAGGTGGGGTTTAAGCATAATAACGATAGTGTGTAACGATAAGGTGTCAATGTGTTTGACTTTAATGTGTTTGTAACTTTTATGACTCCAGGAAGGCTAGTGTAATACACGCTGTACTCACTAATGGAGATCTGTCAAATAGGCTTCCAGGCGCATAAAGGGCACGTGCACAGTGATGGGGTTAAATACGGCAGGAATATCTTGAAAAGTGGAAGGAAATTACAACCACAAGAATATTTTTGAATAAGATATCTCAAATGTCCAATTTCGTCTTTCTTTCCCTGCCAGGGTTCCACTTCGCCTACACGCAGGCTCCCCGGCGCATGAAGGGCACAGTGATGGGGTTATTCCTGCTGATGTTCGGTCTCGGAACCTACCTCAGCATCGGGATATCATCGGCGTTTAACAGTAAGTATCAGCACTTCTGTCGAAAGCGTTATAAACTCGTGCATATATCAAGCTCAATGATTACAGGAAGCCCTTTCTGTGCAATACAACAAAATCAGTGCACGGATACTTAAACGTACACAGACACACACACACACACACACACACACACATTGTGTGTATTCTTTTAATGTACTCAGCACAGGGGCTTTGTTATTTCTATTCATGGTTTTTGTTAGTTACTTGCTTGTGTATTTTACTTTGTATTGGATTTCATTATTCATTTAAGGGTTAATGACCCGCCCCGAGGTGAATATAGTGTGATAAAGCCTTGTCAGTTGCTATAACCACCGAATCAAGCCACCGAGTGAGCGCAGCTTTATGAGGTGGTTATAGCAACTGACAAGGCTTTATCACACCATATTCACCGAGAAAGGGCGGGCCATTAACGCTATTATCATATAGCCAACATGTGTTCCGTATGGAGTCACCTGAGGACACTGGAGCAGGGTCGTGTTCTATTTGGTCAAATAAATAAATACATGCAATAACCATGCCTTCCCTCTCTCCCTAAGTCACGATTGAAGGCATCGGCAGTCCTCGTGACCTGAACATCAACCTGAACAACAGCCACGCCGAAAGGTCTGATTTTTTTTATCTATTTTGAATTTAGAATTATAATTTTTGTTTATTTGCACATATACAACGAAATACATATTTTAAGCAAATAATAAAAATGCACAAATATGCCGGGGGAGGCCTGAAACCTTAGTAGTTTCCTTGTAACGGCGTCAATTCCAACATCTGTATTCGGTGTTCGAAGTTTCGAAAGCGGCGCACTCGGTGCGCGCGAAACGCGTTCGACGTATTCCATGGAACATATGGAAGCCCGTAAGATAAAAATAGAACCCCGGGCCGTACCGCTAGTTATCACACGGGCCGGAACACCCGTATCGAACGTTATCGCGGCCCAGGTTTGACATAAATAAATAATGGTAATTACATTAGCAAGAAATCAAATTATGATTTCACTTTTTTCAGGTTCCACTTCTTCCTAGCGGGGCTGATGTTCCTGGACCTGGGTCTGTTCTGGGTCCTGGCCAGCCGATACAAGTACAAGACTTACCTGACAAAGGCCAAAGATTTTGAAAGAAGTACGAGTTGTAGCTCCCCTAGGGATTACGGTTCAATAGATCCGAGCTTCAATTCTATACAGTAGTAAGAAGTACATGTAGTTTTGTTAGTCTCCACACCAGACTCTTTTGCAGGCCGAATAAATAGTACAACTTGGCCTAAAAAGAATGTAGCTGCATGGCCAGGGGAGTTGGCCGACCATAGAGGGTCCAGTTTGCCAGCATAGATACTATACTTTTGTATACGATTGTATTTCATTCGACATGTGCTTCGTTTGTCTAAGGCAATGAATACTCAATGTGTTGCGATTTTCTTTGAGTCTAGTGGCAAATTTCTAGCTATAGGTTCAGTTATCAATGATATTTACATAATTACACAATGTATGTATTGAGTAAAACAAGTAAGATTATGTGCTGTGCAATGTGAACCAGTGAAAATTGCCCTGAGGAAGGTGACAGGCGGTCACCGAAACGTTGGCAGAATAAAACACTTGGTTGCTTAAAAAAGTCTTGTTGTTCAGTTTTTCTTCGGTAAACAAATATGGCGATTTGATATTTCATTCATGTACCATAGACACAGAGTTTGGGTTTTGTGTAACTATATTTCACGCGAAAAATACATGGAAGGCGAGTACTTCGTAAAATTCATACATAAAGTACAAGATTATCAAGTATACTAACATCCAATGGCTTTAATCACTCTTTACTCCTGTACATTACGAAATTTCAAACTTTATTTCGTATAGAAGAAACAAGGTATATAACTAATCGTTGAAATAGTCGATACATTTACTTATTACATTTCGTTAAACATTATTTCTATATCACAGCTACCGCTGCTACATCTTCCAACAAAGACGAATTTACTCAAAGCATATACATAAGGCCACACCAATTTAATTTGTTGTTTCTCGGATTTGCCCTGTCCATTTTTTCTGATTTGCAAAAAGAAAAATCTTTTTTTAGGTTCTAAATCAACTGTAAAATGCTCAATAAAAGACATATTTTGGCCCCAACGATTGAAGAAAGTCCTTTTCTTCCTAGTTGCTAAAGTTTTTACAATGTAACAATGCAATTTTGTTTCATTAAAAATTCAAAATCTATTGTTTTGATTATGAACCAGCCTGGTATGTTGACTTTATGACTCATATCGTAACATTTCGGCTATCATGGGGTGCCTTTTTTCGCCCTGTCGCTTGATATTTTTTCTAAAAAATCCGAGAAACAACAAATTAAATTGGTGTGCCTTTTACGAATGTCTGTCTGTGATGTCAACTGGCTTTAAGATGCTTTTCATCCTTAATACGCTAGGTGTCGTTGCTGGTCAGTTGTTGGCAATTCAGAAGCGATCTGTAAGATATCGGAAACAATTAGTCAACATTTAGACATTAGACATTATCAGATGGGCTAGCCTGATTAAATCGCTTTACGGTTGCCGGCCGCCCAACATCCAGCCGCCCCCCTGTGGGGAGGGGCCAGTAAAGCCGCGGACGACAAAGTTTGCGTGACACAGACTACAAATCGGCCAGGCAGTATCCATTCGCCCGAGAGGGACCACACGAATGGATATTGCCTGGCGAATTTCATACCGTATTTTGCCACCCTAGGATGTGCTTGGAGATTAGGCTGGTAGTAGTACTTACGGAGCTGTTTCTCTGTGTTGAAGGCGTTGTGGTACGTTGTCTCCCACATAACCGGCATTCCGTACACATCTCGCTGGACCTTGTGCAGAGTCGGCGGTTTGGCGGGTCTGGGCGGGTCTGGGTCCCGGTATGGCGCCGGGGGAGACTCCTGCAAGTCAAACAGACTTTTATTTTATCCGTAAATTCATAAACGTGGGGTCATGTGGCGTCGCGGCAGAGTGCGCGACTCGGAACCTAGAGGTCCCGGGTTCGAGTCCTGACATGCCACCGATCTTGTGCCCTTGGGAAAGGCACTTAACACGACTTTCCTCACTTCGCTCAGGTGGAAATGAGAATTGTCCTGTCATGTATGCGTGCATCAATATTCTTCTTCCTAGATGTCATCAGACAATGACATCAACATGGCCTTAGTGATGATTACTGAAAGTTTATTACAAATACTTGCCGGAGGGCTAATTGCAGTTACAAACAACATAAGAAATAAGGTATTGCCAAAAAGCAATTCCCTTGGGAATGCATTGGTGGAATATTTAGAATATTTTCAACTCAATCGCAATACTATACCAACGGCTCCGTCCCTGAGGCGTCGCCAAAAAAAATACAGTGGTATGTGAGACTTTATCTACGTCTAGCACTATACTATATTCTACAACATACATGGTACTAGTTTTACTGGGTTTGACTTCTTCTTTTCAGGCAATGGAAGACGAATTTACCCACCTTTTCTATAATATGTGGGTTCTTTGATTTAAGTAGTAAAATTGTTTTTTTGTGGTAGGGAATGGTGGGGAAGTAAGGGAGCATTTTACTAAGAAGTAGAGAAGCGTCCTTACCCCCATGGCTACAGGTGGCTTCCTGGTATCTTTGACTTGTGCCATGAGTGCGGCGTCGGGAAGTAGCGAGCTCAGATCTAGAGCCGTGCCGTTAGATATACTGTAATTGGAAACAGGGAAGAATTGGTTAGAAACTTGAATGAAAAGTTCAGATTGCAGCCGCTTGATGTGTATAATAACGCGTACTTATCATTTTCTGATTAAAATGATAATCCCATGGTTGGGGACGTTGGCACACTTAAGTGTTCTTGTCTTACATGTTTGTATGTATTTATTTATACATGTTTATCTATTGTCAAGTGGCGCTGGCAAAATAAGTTGCTCAACTTGAGTGCAGCGCCACTTTGTCTTTGTAAATAAAACATCTGAATATATAAAAAAAACGCGTTTTATAGCGTATCGCTGAGGTCATAAATGAATCTACATCGTGCGTCATAGTGCTTCTCCACAATGCTTCCCAAATGGGGCGAAAAAAACCCCATAAAAACAGGCCTAGGCATCCTATTATGGCTCAAAATGGTACGATAGGAGCCATGAAGTCAACACACCAGGCTGGTTCAAAATTTAAACAATGAATTTTAAACTTTTAATGATACCACTGCATTGAAAGATGGAATAACTGTAACAACTAGGAAGAAAAGGACTGTTTTCAACTGTTCAGGGCAAAATATGAGCATTTTACAATTCAGCAGTCCTTTTTACTGCTTTTTGTACTGCTTTTTTGTACTGCTGCTATGCTGACCACTGTTTTTGAATAAAGAAGATGAAAAGACTCGCTTCATGTATGGGTCTACGGATACGATACGGTGTACTGTGATAGGGTGCATATGGGACGCCAGGAGTCATATTTACAGTAAATATGAACTAAGATATCTCTCTCAGAAAGTTGGCAACTTTCCAAAATGTTGTATTATGCACTATTTCTGTCATAGTACACATTACACAATGTATGTATAACGTTACTCACGTGGTAATCAAGCACTGTAACGTCTAATAATTGTGTTAACTTTCAGACACTTAAAATCTGTTCGAAACGTCCTGTTGTTTGTGTAGGCATCGGGAACAAAAGTTGACTAAACTTGAAGAAATGCGTGCGCCGAGTCATACGAAATGCTTAGCCTCTACCAGGCACCGCGGATCGCTGGAAAAATAGTAGAAATTGGCCGAAATAAAGGGATAGTATACCAGAGAAGTTCCAGGGCCATAGAAGCTCCAATCAGTGGGTCGCGAATTTGAGCTTCTATGGCCCTGGATCTTCTCTGGTATACTATCCCTTTATTTCGGCCAATTTCTACTATTTTTCCAGCGATCCGCGGTGCCTGGTAGAGGCTAAGAAATGCTCACAATCTCAGCGACCACACGTCAATGCGTGACCAACTTTACAGCTGCTACAAAAAGCCGGCTGCCTGGCACTTTTCAATGAAACTGTTATAAATCGCCTGAAGTAGTCACTCACATTGTTCTGCCCTACAAACGTGAAGAGGTTTGTACATTCACCTAGACGTCGCTCAGGACCCCAGATCAAATAACCCTGCCCTCTATACAATAGACTGGAATGTTTACGTCCACAATTGCTGTTCAGATTTCTTCCAACAAAAAATAAACATCTTTTAGCTTGCCCTCTTTTCATAGAAACACGCGAAATTATGATAATAAAGTGTAGAAAAATATAGAATGTTGGATACAGATGAGATTATATTATATTACAGAATGTAGCAGGCAAAGCAAATGTGTTGGTAACATTGGTAGAAAATAACGTTTGACACAAGTACATCGTATTGTTACATGTACGAGTAGCACTGCACAGACACGGTTCACTGCATTTAAGAACCTACTTACATAACTAAGTAGTAGCAACAAGAACACGTACAGTCGAAGGTATAGGACATGTAGAAGATATATACAACACTTCAAATAGAACATATAGAATACTTGAGAACTGTGATAGGAATACTTACTTGTCGTCTGGGACCACGATTTCTGGATGGACTCTGGCGAACTGGGAAGGGTACAGACCATTCACGTCCCTTCCTTTGCGGTAAACACTGTCAAAAAAGACAAAGGAGAGAGAATTACCCTTACACTTTCTCTATAATGCAAGTTCAGACAAAATCAGTTTCAGGATATCTCTATATGTTCATCCGTAATGCAGCAACATTTCTAACTTAACGTCACCACTAAGTTAAGCACAAATGTGAAACAAAATCACACCTGTGAATTCAAGCCTGCCTAGACACAGTTCTAGATGGTAACGTTACTCATTGAACTGTCCTATCACCAACGCAACAGGGTAGTGTCCTTACCTTTCAGCGAATCTTACAACTTTTAAGCGTTGCTACTCTGTGTAATTGTTGCCCCCCGCTGGTAACTTAATAATGAGTTAGCAAACAAGAGGTCGGAAATACAAGACAGGGGGACAAGACGTCATCTGCACACCGCAAAGGATGCTGGGAGCCACATACATGTAAGAGGAGAAACCCTCCGTGTATTGATTAATTTTTTAATTTTATGCTATGAAAAGGTGTCATTATTCGTGTCAGCATACTTTGAATACGTTTTACCTTTATATACTAGTACTCGTAACTTCGAATTCCATTAAAAATAGTGTATTGTTTTTGCTTTCTCTCTTTCTGTGTGTGTGTGTGTGTGTGTCAGTGTGTGTGTGCGTGTGCGTGTGTGTGCGTGTGTGTGTGTGTGTGTGTGTGTGTGTGTTTGTTTGTGTGTGTGTGTGTGTGTTTGTGTGTGTGTTTGTGTGTGTGTGTGTGTTTGTTTGTGTGTGTGTGTGTGTGTTTGTGTGTGTGTTTGTGTGTGTGCGTGTGTTTGTGTGTGTGTGTGTGCGTGTGTGTGTGTGCGTGTGTGTGTGTGTGTGTGTATGTGTGTGTATGTGTGTGTGCGTGTGTGTGTGTGTGTGTGTGTGTGTGTGTGTGTGTGTGTGTGTCGTGTGTGTGTGTGTGTGTGTGTGTGTGTGCGCGTGTGTGTGTGTGTGTGTGTGAAGCACACAATGACAACGAACTTAGTTGCTCAAAATAATGACAAAGGAACATGTTAAGATATGTTTCAGCCTAACAAGCTTATTTCCATAATCAATGAGACAAATAAATAAAAAAACAATCACAAAAGCTAAACATTTCATTGAGGCATGGGATCTCCGAATTCTAGTCTTGTGACACATCTAAACACCGACTAAATGGAAGGAATGGAATGCTTCTTACTTTTTGCCTGACTCTTCAACATAGCTGTGATGTTTGAACTCCCTCAGTTTAGTAGCAGCAGCGCTGGTCATGGTGTAAGGTTACGCTGAAAGAGATGAATTAGTTCAAATTTGCTTCATATTGTTCCTGACATTTGTTCTGTAAACGTCAGGCATGTTGTAGCCATGTGGTATCCTGGCATATTGTGAGTTTTATGATTCGTCTTTGTATTCTATATAATATTCTTGTACTTGTAGTTTTACTACATGCAATATATATTAGGATTATGTCAATAAATTTCCATTTTTCAAAATTATCTGTGTCATTCACTTATTGTTTCTTAGCAAGCAATGTTGTCTTATAGCAGCATGTTCGAATATATATTATGTTTATTGACTTCGTTCATATTACAGTAAAATACATGGCAGCTTCATTTGTATACAAAGAGGCTGAATTGCGCATTTTAAGCATGATCTATATTAGTCAAGTAAGTCAAGCATGATCTATATTACATGATCAACATGATAACAAATCTATATCTATGTTACATAATCAACATGATAACAAATTAAAAAACCTGTATACAACTTGAATGTTAGGTAAAGAGATATAAGATCATAGTTAGCACAAAGTGCCAGTGACAAAGGTCAATGAAAATAGGCTGTGCGTGACAGAGAGGTTTCATTCATTGATTGCAATTTCTGCGAGATGAATATTCTAGTGTTTTGGTCATCCCACACCTTCGCCTAGGATTAAATTTTCGAAAGATACACTGAACCAAAGAGCTTAAAACCAAGGAGGTTAAAAGAATTGACTATCAACCTCTTTGATCGAACCAAGAGTCAGGACCCTGATCAAACTGAAAAATATATAGCCAACACCAACTCGTTGTCTTAACGATATGATCACGTTTTGAACCAAGAATACAGAAAATGTACTATAATCCTTTTATTAATCTATCTATGAGCCATCTTAATCACTTGACCCGAAATTTTCAAGATAAAGGACTGGCTTGCACATCGAGCATCATCTAAACAATATCGTCACTATGGACCGGTATTTTGTAAACTATCCTATGTCAGCGCAGAAACATCGATCAAAAGAGCTACAAAACCTTAAATGAGTCATTCTTTCAATCGTTTCTTAGTTAAGACGAAACGTGTCGAGACTTACCTGGGCAATTCCTGAGAAAACGCAGACAACGGAAGAGGAAGGTTTGAATGAACGGACGAGAGTTTGTGCCGCCGACCTGGTGTAGATGTGTTGGCCAAGAAACCGGTAAGGTTATACATGGCAACGAAAGCCGCATGCGCCGACGGTGGTGGGTCTCTGTTTCGACGCTTCCCTCCCTTTGTGTTGTTGCCATGTTCTCCACAATAGCCGTCATACAATCTCCTTCATAATTCATGCGACGCATCTCTCAAAGGGCACAGTGTGTAGCACGTCTCTCTAGCCCAATCGCCATGCATGGCCGCCCTCTCCATGGATAAAACATCGGCATCCAGTCCGCTTGTCCACAATATATCTCATCTCCATTGATGTAAATTGTAAACGGTTGCATGCTCTACTCTCCAAGCAGAGGTTGTGGGGGAGTGATCGTTAGCTTTTTATATATGGCCGTTTTTTTGTCGCTACCCCCACCAACGTGGCCGGCGACCCTCTCTGGCTAATGGATACTGCCTGGCCAATTTGATACTGTCTTTTTGCCACCGAAAGGGATCTGCTTGGAGATTAGCGTGTTCTTTTTCAACACCACTTTTACTCTATTCCTAGTCAAGGAGCTTCAAAATATATTTGAAGCTCCTTGCTACATTTTACTGTGTGAAACAGTAATCTCCAACTAGATATTTTGGTGGCTACAAAGACAGCACCAAATTGGCTAGACAGTATCCGATTTGCCAGGGAATTACAGCCAGATACACGTACATGTACAATTACAAAAAAGAAAGCCACGATAAAATGACTAACCAAGGACATTATCTGTGTATAATGTCCTTGGACTAACACATGCCAAGAATAAGTCGAAGTCAAATTCTCTGCTTGGATAGCAGCAAAACAGCACTTCATGCCTTACATGAAATCACGGAAGCGAAAAGCTCAACCCAAGGAACTTTAAAAACCTTATTTAATACCCAAACCACTTCTTTTCGTGTATTAAACATTTTGTGTCGAGACAGATCTACAGCTATTCCAGAGGTCTGATTGTTAAGGGTATAGAATTTTCTTCTTACACAACCAGTAAAGGTTCTCACCTGCTTACAGTCAGAAGCACTGAGGAAGGTGTCTGATAGACATCGAAACGTAATCAGGTGAGAACCTTTACTGGATGTTTAAGAAGAAAATTCTATATCCTAGATACCTTCCAACCTGATAAAATTATTTACGGAGGTTTGGTTGTTGTAGTTCTCGTAGCGTAACGACAGTAATCGAACAACAAAGCTCAAAGCACAGTTTGTAATGGCATCCTGGCCCGCCTTTGACCGGCTGAAACAGTAGCCGCTGCGCTTGAATGACCCTCCTCTGAATGAACTGCGTAACCCACGCTTGCAAGCCCCAAGCAGATGTTAGGGTGAAAGATTTTAGCATGCTCCTTTGTCATTATTTTGAGCAACCATGGAGTTAAAATCCTCTCCATGGAGCAACTAAGTTCGTTGTCATTGTGTGCTTTACACACACACGCACACATACATATATACATACACACACATGCACACACACGCACACAGACACAGACACACACACAAACACACACACACACACACACATACACACACATACACAAACACACACACACAAAGAATGATAGAAAAACTAGACATGAGTCGTCTTTGCTAACGAAGGTGATAGATTTAATCTACATGCAATATATGAAGTGCACATGTAGTATGCTCTATATAGATAGTCGATAATATTGTCCACATAGTGGATAGCGTAACAAATTCCTAACTATTTCTAATGCACATCAAAATGTGTTAATTCTAATTACCCTCCATGAAAATGGGGGTATTGTTTTTACTCCGTTTCATGTTTGGTCTGATATCTGAAGATCGGTGAGACGGAACTGTACGATATTTGGCAGATTGATGGATGGGGCCTTGGAGATTGTGTAGGTTGACTTTGAGCCCCTGGTGATTGACCTTGGTACTGCAGTTTAATTTTTTTTATTCTGTTGTTTGCGCGTTATGGACTGTTTGTGCGATATTAAGGTAGCATGTAGTTGTTATTACCATGGTTTAGTGGTTTAAATTTGGGCTTCCTAGCTGTTTGCGTTTGATATTTACAATATGTTTAAAGTTGGTCTTTTTGTGTTGAATGTTTGGAAAATCTGGTGGGTCGTTTGGTATAATATTTGGTATGTGGGTAGCTGTTGAGTCTCTTTGCGTTTTAGAGTGCATTAACAGGTTGTCGTATATTTGTATTGCTTAATTTAAAAGGATTTCTACATTATCACCCCTATTTTATAGTAGTGTGGTCTGTGTTGACCCCAATTGGGATACAGTGCATCTATTTTTACCTCCTGTTTGACAGGCTATATATTTTTTTGGTCTGGTTGTTTTTGGGTCTGCCAGCCTTGCTAATGGGGTGGTTTGTTTGTGTTGTGATTGAGAGGTCAATGACCTCACCTCTGCAGGATTGATTATGATTATCTTTGGTTCGTGGTATTTTTTTAGTTTCTGTGTTTTAGTGTCCATAATAGTTGGTGGTTGTAGATCTGTAGTGTAGCTTATTCTGCAAGGTATGCTGTGCATTTCTTATTGATTATTTGCTGCCATAGACTGGCCATAGATAAGGACTTGAGACCTGTGGGGTTAGGTGGGTTTGGGAGCTTGGGTGTTGTGCATTCGTAACTTGACTCCTTGCACTCCTACCACCAGGAAAACAAATGTCTCTCAGGCTATTAGGAAATACCATTATTCATGGTGATAGTCTGCATGTCACTTCTGGTAGTCTGTGAAGCCGACAGGAGGCCACTGTAAAACTCGCTTGAAAGTTTATCTGGGTTGGTACTTACATGATAAAAATTAAAATTGTACCAACACAAAGCAACTCCCTCATTATTCATGGCCATATAACGTCCAATTAAATTTAAACCCAGCTGTCATGTTTTAACAATCAACACATGCGATAACATAAAAAAGAACCCTAACAACACCAACCTCGTTCATGGAGGGAAGATGTCTATTGCTTGTTATAAACTTGAATGCGATATATCTTACACACCTAGTGCGATATTAACATGTGGGTCACCATTTAGGAATCGTCGTCAAATATTCTTCTAAGTTCATCGCATGGCTTCATTGGTGTATACATATATATATATTCTTGGTAATATTCTATAAGTAAAGTCAATGACAACATATGATTATGAATTTTTTGACCTGAGAAACATAAAAGCGCGTTTTACTTTGCACTTTCCACGTTTTTTTTTGTAAACTGCATGTTGTTATCGCCAAGAAAATTTGAAAGGCTGGTTGTACGCAGATCCGTAGGTCGTCTCGAAACGCATTCTGTTGCCGAAGATGTCTTTCCTAGTGGGGACGTCAGAGGGCGCTGTTTCAGGTCGACGATATAACCGTCTGTCGATGTCAGGATTGGTTGTTTTGAACTCCATAGGACTGGACCTGAAATATGGAGTGCAACGCTCAGTTTTGAGGTACTTTAGTGAAATGTGGTGGATATCATATATATGTAGTGGCCTCGACAAAAATACGTAAAAAAACTGAGCCATGAAATAATGAAAACCTAATCTCCAATCATCTATTTGGCAGCCTGGCGAAAGAAAGATAGCAGTACAAAAACAAAGTCTAATAAAAAATGTCTAAATCACGTAAAAAATAATAAATCTTTCATTGCAGAGTAATGAAAACCATATCATTATCATTATCTATAACGAAAATATCATACCATCGGTATCTTAGACCTTTGCAGCAAATGTACTCGATGCCTCGCAACTTGCGATATTGACATACTACTCATGTAGGATCCCCATACATATGCCCCCTCCCCCGTTGAAGGTTTACATCGATAGATACACATTGATATTGCATTGTATAGTAGTGATGTTTAATGTATTACATTTGATGTTTAATGTATAACATTTAATGTTAATGTTCATTATTGCAATTTGTTTTGTATTCAATAATGTAATCTGTATTCATATTGTGCATGTTGTGTTTGGGAGGACAACTTGTAAAGGTGTCAATGCACCTGTTTTGTCCTCCCTTCCACTTGTATATCTGGTGGTAAACTCAAGTAAACAAATAAACAAACATTTTAAGTACTACATGTACTTACAGCGCCTTCCACATGTAAGACTGGAGGGTGGGAGGGGGAGGCTTCATACTCATCATCATCTCTCGTAACTCAGGAGGGTGACCTGGAGGGAAAAATGTCACGTTTTGAATAAATAAAGAATAAAGAATGGTTCAAAACAAACAAACAAACAAACAAACAAACAAACAAACAAACAAACAAACGTCCCAAAATTAACTATTCTTTCCTGGAAATCTTTTTAATATCGTATGTACCTATAGTATATCAGGAAAGTACATCGAATTTTCTTACTTCGTGAGCAGAAATAACAACGATAAAGCTCTTAGAAACCGCTTTGTCGACATTAGTCCCTTTACTTCCCAAGAGAATTGTCGCCTATGGACACTTGTATTTAATCTGCTTCTGTGCAATGTATTGTGAATGTTTAAAAGTGTTTAAAAAGAATTTTTAAAAAAGAAAGGAAAAAAAAACTTACCGAAAGCCCAGCGTCTGTCGTATGACGCTTCGTACGTAGACTTGGCCGGGTACTTCTGTATGGGTACCCCCCACACGTCACGCTGTACAGGCGGCCTTCCCCCGGAGGCCGTCACCGGTCGTCCGGTCCTCATCGACTCCTGGGCTCTTTGCTAATGACGAAAAAAATATGATGTTTTCCCTCTTGTTTTTTTTAATTACTAGTATTATTCCAAGATGTAATCACCAGACGTGGTGACGGCACACTCAAGTTTTTTTTCAAAGTATATCAATGCCGCCATGCACCAACATAGGGGACAAATACATGACAGGACAATACTCATTTACACCTGAGCAGGACAGATGTTTGTTGACCTTAGACTTGAAGAGTTTAAGGTTATACTCATAGGGGAAGCAATCACATGGTAGCTTATTCCAAAGTGATGCTATTCGTGGAAAGAAGCTTTCAGCGTGGAACTTCCTCCTAAGAGGTGGTGAATGGATGAAGAAAGGGTGATTTGCTTCGGTGGAAGTGGCAAGACGTGTCCTTGTTGAGAATTTTCGAAGTGGGGGCACTTCGCAAATCAGTTTGCAATTTTGCAGCTTCTTTAACTGTATTTAAGTTCCGTTTCCGTATACCCTACCTGTGCATGTTTGATCTGTGCCGGCGCTGTGGTCGGTCTCTGAGCCGGCGCCGTCTGAGGCCGAGGTGTGACGCCCTTCCCCAAAGTCAGACTAAAAGTAAGAAACAACAACAGAACAAATAAATTTTCGGAACATAGATAAACAGCTGCACAAATTTAAATTCCAGAATATCCAACTAAAATCCAATTCTTTGTTTTCTTAAAAGGTTATAGAGTTCATTTTAGGAACGCAACATTCTTCGATATTGAATAAAATTGAGGACGTCCCGAGTGAGCGAACCCTTGCGAAAAGATCTAGTACTACACGGATGACCCCTGCACGTATAAAAGACATAAAAAGTTGATTTTAACTTCTGGAATTGTATATTATCATACAGGTACGCTAGCAATAGCACTGCGTTAGCAGTTAACAAGTCGTTCATATTAAGTCAACCTTTACCCACTAAAATCATACATATTCTACCTCACACTACAGAGTTATATTTCCCTCCTGTCATGGGGGAAATATATTGTTTTCTCTATAGTCTCACTTGTCTCTCGGCTTGGGTGCGTGCATACGTCCGTATTCGCCCGGCCACACCGCTGTTACAGGCTTGCCTTCACGTATAGGGCTGGAACGTGAAGAAAAAATACATTATTTTACTGTCTTTACACTGTCTTCATTTTATTTATCACTAAGACATGACAAAAGTGCTACTACGATACACACAAGTACATGTACTTAATAGATATGACAAAGTATATAACAGCTTGAGTTGAGATATACAGGGCTTAACCCACAAAAAGTGGGATTTTATTAACACCGGAAACGACTGATACACACACTGGAATGCAGTATACACACAAGTAATAAAATACTGCGAAATGTCACTCATATGCACACAGATACATGTACAAGTACATGTACTAATTAGATATATGCGGTAAAGTACATACACAAAGGTAATTAGATAGTGAAAAATATCACTCATATACAAACAAGTACAAGTACTTATTGCATACAATATATATATACACACAAGTACCAAGATACTGTAAATTTACGTACTAATCATAATAGATAGAACGTTATTGCACGACAGTTGCACATGGTACAATGTATGGCAAACTACATAAAGAGAGTAACAACAATAAAAGTCTTTGATAAAGTGTTACAATCGAGTGGGCTAATCACAAGTTTCGGCATTTTTTCTAATAGCAAAGCATTCCTTTATATATCTACCTATTTTTTGCGTATATGCACAGGTACTAAGATACAACAAAGTATCACTCACATGCACACAGATACTAAGATACGTACGACAGCGTAACACTCATGCACACACATGTACTAAGAGACGATGAAGTATTACTCACTTGTGTTGCACATTATGGCCCTTGAATTCTCGTAACTTGATTGATATCGCACTCATTGTATCGGATCTGCATTCAACTCTATTGAAGAAAAATTGATAGATTCAGTGAAACAATATGCATGCATAACTGTAGTAAATGATAAGTACCTATTTCTGTGGCTACTGTCCCATATACTTTGTATACAACCAATCAAAATAAGGGCATACTAGTATTTCATGGACACCATTTGTCATCCACATTTTCCTGTTAATGAGGTATGGTCACTATAGAGAGGTATATAAAAAGCGGTGGAAAGAGTGGGTTGGGCTCCGCCTTCCAATACTGTGCCCTTGACACAGTGGATTAACAACCCACTGCCCCTACAGCCTCAAGAAGGCTACGGGACTACCTTTACCTTTTACACGGTTTGTCCCACAATCAAAGATTAACCGTAAAATGTCTAATCTCCAAAACAGTTCATACGGTGGCAAGGCAGTGTCCATTGGCCAGAGGAGTGTTCATTGGCACCTTCGGTGACCGTACAGACTCCTCTGGCTAACGGATACTGTCTTGCCACCGAAAGGGATCTGCTTGGAGATTACATGTATAAAAGAAGTGGGTAAATTCGTCTTCCATTGCCTAAAAAGAAGTCAAAGCCAGTAAAACTAGCACTAGTACCATGTATGTAGAATATAGTATAATGCTAGACGTAGATATAGTCTCACATACCACTGTATTTTCTTTCTTATGTTGTTTGTAACTGCAATTAGCCCTCGGGTAAGTATTTGCAATATCCTTCTATAAAATATCGCTATATATAAGACGTCCTATGAAAATGATCAATGCCCGTATAGTAGAAGACATGGTCCCCTGAGCAACTTATCGTGTCAACAACTTGACCTTCCGAGCAAGAAAAACACTCGGGACAAAACGCCTTGGTGGCAGGTCGTCGTCTGAAAACACCTCCAGTGTTTTTGTAGTCCCTTTGTTTACCACGGTGTGTTTACACTGTACGTGGTAACGCTTGGTCTTAAGGTGGGTGGACTTCCGGGTTGGGCTATTTCGTGCTATACATGTACGTGTGGTCAAATTTTGGTGTGAAACACTTTTCTCGTGACCTTTTAAATGATAACTAGAGTCATAAAATGACACTCTTTCCTCCATGAATTGTTGATAAATAATGTTCATTTTAGGTCAATATTTCTTGCATATTCTGGTACTTATAAAACCCTTCGAAGTTGTCGAGTTTACGACAAAAATATGTAGACCTTGCTCTTGATCTGTCCCTCAAAATGTTTCTTAGTAATTATCTAGAGCTCGTAACTGGGCATTATATATTTATGTACACCCAAGGGAGTGATTAATGGTCTTATTACACCGCACAACTGGTCATTTACCAACATAACTCACCTGTGGGGGTATAATGGCTTCCTTGCAAACGACACACTTGTCGTATTAAATATAGATCCCGCTTTGAAAGAAACGTTCCATGCGAAAGTGCCAAGTGGTTTCCAAACGCTTTTGAATCACCGAAAGTTGATTTAAGAGTTAAGTAAGGCCTACGTTGGCTGCTTGTTCCCTACGTTTCATATACATGTATATAGGCACAGCGACGACATGTTGCAGAGTTTTAAAACGACATATTTTGAATGAAATGTATAGGCTAAGCTGCCCCTGCTTTCTGTAGAGACAAATTTCTTTTAACACTTGCAATTGCTTTCTTGGGTTGGATAGCAAACACGGTAACTAAAAACATATCAGTTGGTCGTAGTTAAGACAACATAAGGATGGGTCTTTGATATCTGGTTATTTACAATACACGTCCTCAATTGTTAAGGCTTTTAGCGCTCTGTGTACATTGCAAATCCCCAAAGCACAACACGTTTCACAAACTCTAAGCACGCAGGGAACAGTTTGCAAAACCAGCACAAGTACAAAAACCATTAAAAGGGGCAAATTTACAATATATACATATGATGTTACAGTAGGAATTGTTGCTCCATATGGCCAGATATGACCGATTGTGGACATCAACAGAACGAATGAAATTCCTGACAATGTTTGGAAGTTTCTGTCGATTTTATCACACCTTTAACAGTACCATGACACACTATGACAACACATGCTAGCGATGTCTGTGTTTTTGATAGTTGTAGATTCGGTTGTTTCTCACACATTCTATTCAACAGTCTTGTGTGAATGAAATATATTTGTTTCTTCCGAGCACTTATTTATATCATCGAGTTTAACGATAAAATATTCCCTAAGTTACTTTTTTTGAAGCCATACTTACCAGATCAAAGTCTGTACTTAAGAACTTACCTTAACTTAGAAAGTGGGTGCGAGGTACCATTGCCTTAAGTCATTTTCTTCACCGAATGTCTTGGCGGAGTGAAGTTTCTTGAAGGCAGTCCTTCCCCCTGGTTTCACCACGCTCTAGTGAGCACGAAAATCCCTCTTTGAGTAGTCTGAGTACACATGAATCAACACTAGGGTTGAGTCACCTGGGGGACAGTGCATTATATGTACACTACGCATCGTAGCTGGTCGAATTGCGACGAAAATTTACGACAGTAAATACATGTAATGAATCTAAACGCTTCTCCCGATGTCGTGAAAGCATTCTACGTAAAGTTACAAACATTCGCCGTGGAGTTCTGCTGAAGAATGATACCATTCCGGACCCCCACCGGGAACAGTAATGGTTTGCCCCGCAGACGACCATGTTCGGTAGCAGGACGCGGAGAGGTAGCCATAGCAACGGTTGGTTTGGCGCATGCCCAGGCCTCCCCCACGTTGCTCTCGGGTTACCGTTGCTGGAAAGGTCACAATTTGTCATGTCTTTGTTTCCAGTACAAAAGAAGGGGAGGGTGGTGTTTAAATTAGGGACGTTTCATGTAAAATGGGGGGATGGCATATATTCTCCAAGCAGAGGTTTGGGTTTTGGGTTATTTTTGGTGTTTTTAGACTTTTTATTGGGGTTTCTTTTTTGCACTGGGATTTTTCTTTTATACAACCCAACTGTTCTTTTTTCTTTCTTTCTTTCTTTCTTTCTTTCTTTCTTTCTTTCTTTCTTTCTTTCTTTCTTTCTTTCTCATTCTCTTCATTCTTTCTGTTCTCTTTATTCTTCGCGTTTTATTTATTTGGCTGGATATTTTCACCAGGTCCTGTAAGTTTAAAAGAAGTCGATAGAAGTCGCTTTTTTTCGAAGTGTACGTGACGACACTGCTGAAACTTGGTAGCCTCTACCAGGCACCGCGGATCGCTGGAAAAATAGTAGAAATTGGCCGAACTAAAGGGATAGTATACCAGAGAAGATCCAGCTTCTATGGCCCTGGATCTTCTCTGGTATACTATCCCTTTATTTCGGCCAATTTCTACTATTTTTCCAGCGATCCGCGGTGCCTGGTAGAGGCTAGAAACTTGGGGCATGTGTCTTGCATGTCCCGTCTTGTTGTGGCTGGAAGATGCATCATTCGCCAAATTAGTACAAAAAGGCGGGGCCTGCCGACGTTTTCTGCTCTCTGATTGGCTCAAATCTGGAGCAGCTTTTACGTCATCCGGTAGCTTCTGTATTAGCGCTCCCTGTGATATAAAGCTTAATCCTATTTTGTGGACCACCAATATCTTATGTGGTCGCTACTCTTCGCAATACCAGTGATAAAAAATTAATTCAATACTCTAAATAGTCTAAAAAGCTGTTCACAGAGGAGAATTTATTTATTGCACTGTTTGATTTGACGGTATCGGGGGAGGGACGCCACAAGACAGCACAGCCGCCAGCAGGGCTCACCTTTGATACAGACCTTGTTTTTAGATCGAAGTTCTTCCGATCATCTGCCATTTTCTCGTCTGTAGCTCGACATATTTCGGTTCTTTTCCCCTGTGCACGTTCCTCGGCGACATGTCTGCCCGTGGTGGGAAGAAGCGAGTCAAGGCAGTCTCCCGGTCGGCGCGGGCAGGGGTTATTTTTCCCGTCGGTCGGATCTACCGGTACCTTCGGCGGGACACTCACCACCTGAGGATCGGTATGGGAGCCCCGGTCTACCTGGCCGCAGTCATCGAATACCTGAGCGGTAAACAAAAAATCTATCTCGTGCAAAAAATAGCGTATAGTGTGGTTTTGTGTTTGAGAAAATCATGAATGTGTATGTATATGACTTTGGCAGCCATTTTCCTTTACTGAAATCATTGCCATCTTGTGATGTCACTGAATGCATAAACAAGAAGGGGGCGTGGCACCTGTTTAAAGTTCCTGACCGTCATTCATTCGATATTGGCTTCTTCAGACCTTGTTTATGGCCGTGTTTATGTGAAGTCATCCAAACCGCGATTCGGGTAACTCGCATTCCTCACATCTGGTCCATGTGCCATACCTTCCTTTCAAACCGTGCCCGATCACGATTCTCCGAAACTGCATTCATTGTTGTTTGATGTAAACACACAAGATAGCATGTTATCATTGTCAGAGGTCAACGACCTGCTTGCTGGTGCCCCCCTCTCAGCGTACTTCGGCCGAATGCCGACGTGGTCCCGCCAGACGCGGTGAAGCTCGTCCTAGAACGGACACAATTTATTCGACCATTACTGCTCTTTAAGTTGCTGCCACGTAAAATTTAGCATTGCATATAGATAAAGAAATATCACCCCGTAATCCATGACCAGGTAAAGTCACGTTGAAATCACATTGCTTTCAAAATATCTAGAAGGAATTTTCACTTCAGCTAATAATATATTAAGTAATTCTCACTTGTGTTAATCATATGACATCAGCTGAGATTCTGGAGCTGGCTGGAAATGCTGCACGAGACAACAAGAAGGGGCGCATCACCCCCCGCCACATCTTACTGGCTGTGGCCAACGACGAAGAGCTACACCAGGTATTTAGGCCACACCAATTTAATTTGTTGTTTCTCAGATTTTTTCAAAAAAAATATGAAGCATCAGGGCGAAATAAGAAAAAAAAAAGAGCCATGAAGTGAACATACCAGGCTTGTTTATAATTAAAACAATAGATTTTGAACTTTCAATGAAGCAAAATTTCATTGTTACATTGAAAAACTTGAAGAATTAGGAAGAAAAGGACTTAAATCATTGGGGGATTACGCTCTATGAAAAAGGGCATGCAGCAGGCCCCCGTGAGAAAAAGACTCAACCGCTTTGACACAATTTTGAGCAACCGTACGGTTTTTTCTGAATGCAGCTATTGAAGCACGTGACCATAGCCTCTGGCGGAGTGCTTCCGAAGATTCACCCCGAGCTTCTTACCAAGAAGCGCGGACAGAAGCGCATCTTCGACGCGCTGCAACCCCCCATCCCTCCACCTCCTGTCAAGAAGGCCAAGACAACGACACCTGCCAAGAAGTCGCCGGGCAAGAAGAAGGCAGGTGCTGCAGCGCCCCCTGCTGGCGGCAAAGGGAAAGGCAAGGGAAAAGGCAAGGGGAAGGGGAAGAGCACCAGCACAGAGGTGTGTTATAGGTATCCTGGGTCACAGGCTGGGTGCCAGACCCACAGCACACTCAAAGTTATCCAGTGTGCAGGGCTGGATAACTTTGGGTTAGTGTGCTATGGGTCCTGCATCCAAGCTAAATGTTATATGCAGATCACAGTCACGTGCTGTACCTGGAATCTTAAAGTTAAAGGCATCAAATGCAGTTTCACTGCGGCAAAACTGCATTTCTAGAGTCAGCTTTCTGGTCATTCTTTTAGTAGATTTAATCAGTCCTATCCCATAGCGTTACATCTGTGAGTCAAAAACGCAATATTGCTGACAGAAAGCGGTTGCTTGTTTTGTTTGGTAGGCTGGTTCTAGCTATTTCTGGGTGGTACCCAAGAAATCATTGAAAATCGTAGGGCATGGCTATTTCTTGTTTTCTTCTGGGCTGGTATTACCGTAGGTACTTAATAGTAGTTGGTACGTCCACCAGTTTATTAGTCATTTTGTACATCATGCATATGTTTGGCCCTTCCAGACCACGATAAGCACGGCTGACAGCACGGAAGACGCTGCGTCCGGCGGTGAGGAGACGACCGCAGCGTCCGCAGACAGCACCAGTCCTGCCGTGGCCACCGGCATCACCATCCTGTCTGAGAAAAAACTCTTCCTGGGGCAGAAGGTAATGGTCCCATTATATTGTCGGGGCTAGGAAATCCTTTTACTGCATACCTGCCATAACATGGAGTTTGGAATACTCAGTTATACACACAATCAACAGTTTACATACATTGTTACAGTAGTTACTTGTAGATGATACTTTAGTATGCTCATATGAAAAATAGAAAAATAGCAGAGAGAAGATCAAACTATCATAGAAATCTGTTGACTATCTAACGATCTGCTGGACCGGGCGTGCGTACGTTATAGGGGTTTTTCCATTGAACATTGCCCCAAATTGGTACACTATTACAGGAAAAATGGTAATGATTATAACATGAAATAGCAGGGCTCGAAATTCATTTTTGGGAATAGGTGCACTGGTGCACCCAACCTAAAAAAATGGTAAACCTAACGAAATGGTAAACCTAAGGAAATGATAAAAACCAGATCGATTTTTATGATGAAATTGAGTTGAAATTTTCTTTCCCAGCTGACAGTGATCCAAGGTAACATTGTGAACCTGCCGGCCGATGCTGTTATACACCCCACCAACGACTCCTTCTACCTGGGTGGGGAAGTCGGTAAGTTACTGTCCTCATCATTTGATAACTGTTGTGTCCTATACCTGTATTGCAACCTGAAGACAATAAGATTAGAATTTGCTCCGTGAAAAGCATCATCAGGTTGGTGAGTCACTGAGTAAAGAGACTCTTTTTTACACAGCCAACGTTTCAGTGACCCTCTGTCACCTTCCTGAGGAGGTGACAGGTATTCACCAAAACATTGGCTTTGAATAAAACACTTGGTTTTGAAAAAAGAGTCTCTTTACTCAAGATTAGGTGCTGCAATGTGATTTTAGTTATTAAAAAGCTTCATTTTATTGTCTATTTACCAGGTGGGTATAATGTTACATTACATCTCAGGTCCAGACTGCGAGTTGTTTATCAGGTAGGCCCTGGTTAAAAACTTGATATGAACATGACAATCCACAATTGTTTGTTTCTTAAAGGTTAGCTTTTACAAATGCCTTCTGGTAAAAGGTATATCTGCTCTAAAATCCTGACTTGATAAATTTGTAGGTTCTGCTCTACAGAAGGCAGGAGGGAAGGAGTTTGAGGGAGAAGTGAAGAAACTGCTGGAAGCCAATGGTTCGCTGGACACTACTGGAGGTATGCTCTCTACTGTTACAGCACATTACACATTACACACATTAATGGTGTCAAATCCTGGGTTTTGATAGTTTTGATAGGCAGGTCTTTTCCAAACTCACTATAGCCTTTGTCAAGGATCCAATAGAACTGAATAGATTTATTAAAAATGTAAGGCCATGTTCATTAGATTACTGTAGTAAACTAGTATATATATAATATCTATTAGATGACATCCACACATGCATGAATTTTCATTTTTCGTTTCCAGAAAAAAGTTTTTGACCATACTGTAAATCATACTTAATTTTTTTTACTAGAATTAGTACTCTGACTTATTTTATTACCTCCGGGGAAGGAGATATCCTTCCGCAAGGAGGTTTTACTATGGTTCGAAACATTTCTGTCAGCAGCTGTTTCTCGCGATCGGCTGGACGGATTTGTCTGTGGTTCGGTATACGTATTGCTATTGGGCTGCAGATGATGCAGAACGTTTTTGTTTAATTGCATATGTGTTTATGGGCGTCGAAATAAAAGGTTTTTAAGTGCTCCGGACACCCCCGCCATGCTGAAAATGGTAATTACCATGTTGTTAAGGAATGGGGCGGTTGCAGTTTTGGGTCTTAGCATTCAAAAGGGGTCAAACAGAGGGGTGTCTGGTTCCGATAAAAAATTTTGGGTGACGGCGCAGCAATGACGGCGGGGGTAATGGCGCGGGTGACGGTGCAGGCTGTCAGACTGTGAGACACGTTAATCAACAGTCCATACCGAACCAACCGTCAGTAGCCATCAAACACATACAAACATATTACGCACATAACTTTCATACTACACACAAACAAATAACCTAAACCAATAGAACACAAAAAACCCGGAGGTTTGAAATCTACGATTTCCCTTGTTGTTTATGTTACTCTGTTGATGTTACCTATACAGAGTATGCCTGTAAAACAGTAGGAAGTACTGAGTGCATTCTACCCTTTATTGATAAAAGAGAAATTAATACATGTACTGAAAACAAAGTTTGCTTATATTCCAGCTGCCATCTGTCCTGGGCACAACTTCCCTGCCAAGTACGTGATCCACTGTAACGGTCCGTCCTGGAACACAGACAAGTGTCAGGACAACATGGAGAAGACAGTCAAGAACTGTCTGGCACTGGCAGACGAGAAGGACCTAACTTCTGTAGCATTCCCCTCCATTGGAAGTGGTCGGTAGGTATCATTCTGAAGGCTTAATAATGTTTACTGAAGGAGAACACATTGTTTTTACTCAGTTTCTTCCTCTTCTTCTTCTTCTTCTCCAAAGAGTGACCTATGACCTGACCAATGACATGATTTGTTGACGTCTGTCACCATGGTGACTGGTGTTGGGTTACATAATGTTGCAATTTCATGGTCTACTCTGCTCCTGTACTACTCCATATACTAGTAGTACATGTATGTGAAATGTGTTTGAGTAAGAATTAACAGAGCAGACCATATGCGAAGGTAAACATCATGCATTTGCAAATTAACCTTTCTAGTACCGTAACTGTAATTCCTGATTTTTTCACAGTACTTTTATGTTCACTGTTTTCACTGTCACTTCTGTACCGTGAACTCATAATTACAGTTAACAAATAACTCCTGGACTTTCTTTTTCCTGCACCTGTCGCCACTGTGAAAATATAGTTCCATGAACATGTTCACTTTTCTCAGACTGTGAAATTTTGTTACCGTGAACATAAAGTGAATAACAGCAACTTCTTGTCTCCCTGTCCAGTGCTGGCTGGCCGAAGCAGACCGCAGCCCAGCTGATCCTGAAGGCCATCAGTAACTACTTCTCCTCACAGATGACGTCGTCCATCAAACAGGTCTACTTCGTCCTATTCGACATGGAGAGCATCGGAGTCTACACCAGCGAACTAGCTAAACTGGACATCAACTAGGTTGTACTTTATTTAAAGTTAAAACTTTTGATTCAACACCAAAAGTTCTCTCACCTAGAGCTTTCGTTTGACCAGTCACTCTGGTCTTCCTCAGTAGACTGACCCAGTGAAGCTTGTCACGCGGCTTCTTTGAAGTGTGATCTGGTCACAAGTTTCTGGTCGAAAGCTCTAGGTGAGAGAATTTTTGGTGTTGGATCAAAAGTTTTAACTTTAAACATGTAACTACCAACACAGATGAACTTTCATGATAGGTGACTAACTTACATGGCTGATGTGTAATTATGCTCTCTCAGAGTAACTGATTTGATTTCAAATTGGCATCTTCGATGAACAGAAGTGTATTCCTTCCCTTGTCTAATCAAGTCCTTGTAAATTTCCTTAAACCATTTTAAGGTCTTGAAACCTACTTTCTTTTGATAGGATATAGGGATTTTCTTCATACACAACTTGTTTCTTACCTGCTTGAATGTATCTTATGTCCTACCAACCTGATTAAATTATTTTGGGGGGCTACTTTTCATGCTTGCATGAAACTTTAAAATCTCTAGATCTATCATCAGAAAATTTCTACTTGCACCCCAAAGTAAAATGGCCAAGCATTGAGAGATGGCTTACGAACTTGAGACCAACATGTAAATACCATACAAAATGGAAGATAATAGTTGAAATATCATTTGGCACTTCTTGGAAAAGTACATGCCAGATAGAGTACATCTTGCTGTTACAGTGAGTATTTCAAAAGAGTCTTTTATCCTTTTTTTAAAGCAGGAATGAAGGTTATACTTTTGTGTAAAGAAAGGGACAAGGAAAATGCATCTCTCCTGGCAACAACCATAGTTCTTAAAAATATTTTTTTTCTTACAAGTGACAGTGTCAAAACCTTGATTTGGACACCATGATAGTTTACAGTTATATCTGTAAGTTTATCATCCATACGACATATACTGTTAGTAACTTATTCCTTTTTATCATTTTAAAGTAAAACTACATGTAGTCAATTAAGTCAAGTACTACAAGAGAATTTTATGTGCAACTTTCAGTTTAGTTGTTTGATTTTTGTGTGATGCTTTAGCAAATTGTTAATTTAAACAATATTCAAGATTTCATAGTTAAATCAGGAAGTGTCATATCAACGTTGAATTGAAGGATCAAAGTTGAAGTTTCAGAACAGACTTGAAGTCAACAGAAAAAGGATAATCAGCATGTTTAAATTGATTCAGAGCTGAAATACTAAGTAACCAGTTACTTCATTTATGTGCATTTTTAACTTCCTTATTTGTGTTTGATTGAAATATTAGGCATTGCAACTTTGATTCAGTGGAGTACAAAAGTGAACCTATCACTAAGTTATGTGGTATAACGTTAACAGTTATAGGGGTTTCCTATACTTTACCAACCTGATGAAACTATTTTCGTATACAAAGTTATGTGTTGTTTAGAAAGATTGACTTAGTCTACATGAAATTGTAGGGTGACACATTAAGAGAATCAAACACAAGTCATGATCAGTTTAAGTGTTATGTACTTAAAGCTAATGCATAATGTTCTTGCTGTAAGGATAACCTTTTATTTCACTTGATTCAATATTTGATTGGAATTACTGATTATTATGCTATTGGATATTACTAGACTCGGATGCTTTAGATGCTGCTTGAATGCTGTGAGGTTAAAATAAATAAAGAAATAGGGACATAATATTGATTTTATGGTGATTTTTCAGTGAGCTTAGAATCTGATATTTAGTTTCAATGTTAAAGATACAGAGGTGCTGATATATACTTAGATGTTATAAGGCAACAGTCACAGCAAAAAAATTATGAAATTATTTAATACTCATAGCTGTTACCTGATTATGAGCTCACCACTTTTTTCTTAGTATTGTATAATTTTATGCACATCAAATGTGGATGTAATAGCAAAGGTGTATTTAAGTGTATGCACTTATTATGTTAACCGAAGGAAAACATTGTTTTTGCTCCATTTCTTCTTCCTCTTCTTCTTTTCCAAACACTAACCTCTGACCTGGCCAATGGCCTCTTTTGTTGACGTCTGTCACCATAGTAACTGGTGTTGGGTTACATACAATGTTGCAATTTCATAGTAGGCATTTAGGCTCCTGTCACCATATACATTGTACATGTATGTGAATGTGTTTGAGTAAGAATTAACAGAGCAGAGCATATCCGAAGGTAACATGATGCATTTGCTTTGCAAATGTTACTTTTCTAGTTCATATATTATATCAAAACTTTTTGACAGCTCTAGATCTATTCCAGTAAAATTGACTGGCTTTATAATAGCTGCAGTTGCAATTGTTGCTTGCTTCTGACAATTTTAAAGAATATTTAGGTGTTTAATTCTCTAGAGACTCTTATATGATACACCATGGCTATTTGCTGTTAATGTTGCTAATGTGCCATGAAATGTCACAATTATATTCATCATTATTTGTGAAGATTGTGTCGTGTCATTACTGCACGGATCAGTTTAAGTAATGCTGTCAGGTCACAATTCCCACATGGGGCCCGGCCGGGCAGCTTTTGGGAACGAAAACTATGATCAAAAAGACAACAAAACACAGAAAAGTTCTTAATAACAATCATGAGCTCTGTTTCTGTATATTTTTGATAAGAATAGTCAATTTTTCGTTCGTACAAACAGCCCGGCCGAGCCCCGGTTTAGAAATGTGACCTAAGCAATTAAGGAGGCTGACTTTTTTAACTTCCTTGGTTTTTAGATTGTATCAATGGGCATTGATATTTTATACTTATTCAGAAACCTAAAAACCTTCTTGCAGAAAATAAATGAAGAACTGTAATACTTACTCTGATACTTACTAACGTTACACTTATGCCAAAAACTTTCCAGGCTGGTAAAATTGGTCCAAATTTGGAAGAAAAAACATGCAGTTTATCAACCAGAAAATAAGTGAGACTAAAGGAGGTTGAAATCTATATTACCGTAAAATAAGTGAGACTTAAGGAGGTTTAATCTATATTACCGAAAGGACCTTGTTGTGGCCAAGGAGGTTTCCTTTTAAAAAGATGTGACTGAAAGGTGAAAGAAAACTGTTTAATATGCCCCCCTAGGTCGTAGTGGAACGATGGGGTAAAATCTCGTGAGAGTTGACGAGATTTGGCAGACGACGTTATGTAACTAGCAGACGACGCCCTGACTCAAGTACACAAGACCCGAACACCCGCCGCTTTTGCAGGTATTTAGGGGGGTGAAGATCAATTATTTTACCCAGACAAACTGTAACGGCAATCTGGACAAAATTCAACGCCATCCGCAGAAGATGGACAACTGTAGTCTCGATTTTTAGCCTCATCATCAGTAGGAGCCGAGCTCGAAGCCCTCGCCCCCCTCCCCAAGTTGTATGCTTGTCTTAATTACATGGCGGTTTTAGAGTAGAGTAGTTTTGTAACGAAAATGGGCTGTTACAAAAAATAAAATGTGGAGGGGGGTGGAAGAGGCTGGATTGGAGGGAGGGTAGGTGTTTGAACGTCTGGATTGGAATTAGGGCCTGGGAGGGTTTGAACAATTTTGGACGAGGAACTAGGCCTAGGGAGGGTTTGAGCAATTTTGGACGAGGAACTAGGGAGGAACAGGTTTCAGCAAAATCTGGATTGGGACTAGGGTAAGATCCAAAGTTGATTTTTTTTACCTCTTCCACCCCCCTAAATATTTATTTTTGGGAAGAGCCCATTGAAGACCTTTATTGCACATTTCTGCCACACTTGGCTAAGTACAGCTCACAACAAAACAAGATGAATGGACACGGTTAACAGATACAAAATTAACTAACTATCGTTATATAAATTCAACTTCTCCTCGCTTTTCAGTTATTGTAGAGATAAAGGTACAGATCTGTTTTTCAATGGGTGGTTAATAATTGTCCAGTCGCATTAGGAATATGAATTTTTCTACGGTACTTAAGAAATAGGGGAATAGGTGACTTGTACAAACATATAACGTTACATTGTGATTGGTCATTAATTATCCTGATGAAGGCGACAGTGGTCGCTGAAAATTTGATCCCTGTACAACTGTGTGTTGGAATAAAGTTCAACCTTTTACTATATAATGTTACAGTTCATTTCTCTCTTTGCTATACAGTTCACATTGTATTATAAAACGAAAATGGCGACCCCCGGACCTTCGGTCGCTATCGTGGGCGGTGGAGTAGCGGGGCTGGTGTGTGCAGCGCGGCTGGGGCAGCTCGGGATCACCCAAACCACCGTCTTCGACACGGGGAGGCACGGGCCCGGCGGCCGGTGCTCCACCAGAAAAATCGATGTCGGCGGAAAGACGTTCCTTTTCGACCACTCGGCCCAGTATTTTACGGTCAGCGACGACCGCTTCGCTAAAATCGTCTCGTTTTTGCACTCAAAAGGAGCAGTGAAGGTGTGGAAAGGGCCAATCGGTGTGCTGAAGGGGGGTCGGTTTGAGAGGAGTTCCAACCTGCAAGCGTTTGTGGGCACAGAAAGCATGCAATCCGTCCCAGAATGCCTTGCGACTTTGTCAAGAGTGGAGAGGCCCGTTTGGGTTGGCAATGTGGTCTGGGAACCAATGGCCAAGAAATGGAAAGTTGACAAGTAGGTACAGCTGCAGTGTGTGTGTGTGTGTGTGTGTGTGTGTGTGTGTGTGTGTGTGTGTCCGTGTGTGTGTGTGTTTGTGTGTGTTTGTGTGTGTGTGTGTGCTTGTGCTTGTGTTTTTTTTTAAATTCCTATAGCTGGATGTTAGTAGATTGACATGAAATATCATTTCACATGGCTTCTTGTATTAAAGAGACTGCAAAGTACTAGGATATGGCAGTCACTGTTGCATACCTTGCAATATCTTAACATATACAAATGTAGTTTAACGTTGTTTATTTCCCTCACAACAGGTACGGTTACTTTGACTACCTTGTGATCGCACACAACGGGAAGTGTGCGGATCGCCTGATGGGAAACTCCGGGGCTCCGAGGATCCATGATCTTCTCCGTGTGCGCTTCACTCCGAAACTCATCCACAAGGTCCAGCAAATGCAGCTGTGCTCTCTGTGGGTGCTCCTGGTTGTTTTTCCCGCCAGCCTGAAGTTGTCGTTTGAAGGGGCGTTTGTGGAAGATGCAGACATCACATGGGTGGCAAACAATACTGCCAAGCTGGGACAGAGGGCGACTGGGGACAACAGCGAGTGTTGGACTATTTTTAGCTCCCGACAGTTTGGAACTGCACACAAGGTGAGGATTTTTATAATGTGGAATACTAGTACATGTATTTGGACATCGAGCATGAAGTTGGGATCTTTTCCTTCATATTCTAATTGTGGTGTGTTCCACTACTGCTTGTTAACATCTATGCCACTTTATCTATTTATTGGTTTGGTTGTTCAACACACACAGCCAGGGCATCCCAACTGGTCTGTGGCTATTACAAAGGGCATGTCCTGCTGAAGAGACATTGCAAGAACACTATTATAATATGGACAAATTAATTAACTGTCTTGAACATTGTTCTATGTAAATAAAAGCATTGTACTTGTGTAAAAAGAACTAAATTTATATGATTGAATCTATGTGGAGACTATGTGTGGATGATGTTGATACTTTGCATTGAATGTTATTAACGTTATGTATATTTATAAAACAGGTTTATATGAGATTATAAGGTATGACACAAGGTATGACAAAAGTACATTGTCAACATATCCATTCTTTGGTTGCAGGTGCCACAAGAGAACATCCCACCAGGCAAAGCTGACGAGGTGACAAAGAGACTCCTGGCAGCCTTTGCCAGAAGTGCAGGCCTGGATTCGAGAGCTCTCCCAACCCCAACCTTCACCAAGGTTCAGCTCTGGGGCGCAGCTGTCCCCCTGAACGTGCTAGACGGAGCCGACTGTGTGTTCCAGGCTTCGCACAATGTGGGGATCTGCGGGGACTGGCTGGTTAGCCCCTGTATAGAAGGTGCTGCCGTGAGTGGACTAGCTCTTGCCGAGTCCATCCATCGCCATGTTAGGGGTGAGAGGAGAGATACAGGCCTGGGCTGTACATTCAAACCTGTTCTCGGGCCTGCTATAGGATCCTTTCCTACCAACAGTAAACTGGTTTTTAACCCTGGTGGAAAGACTGGTTAAAAGATTTTATATTCAGCCTGTGAAAGATATCCTTTTCAATTTGCCACTAGTAAAATTTTTAGCAATGACTTCTAGTAAGAGTTTCCCTTGAAAAAAGATGATCCATACTTACACTCAGTCATTCCCATCAAAACAATACACAAATATATTAAATAAGCAATATGGATTTATTTTTAAAAAAGGTACAGACTGCTTACTATGCATTTCTTCAACCTTGATAGTTCAAACATGTTCTATTCAGACTAACGGTGCATTCTACTCATAATAATTATGAACAAATTGATGTTAGACTGGATAAAGATAAAAAAGATGAGTCTATTGTAATTAGTAATCTTATTATGATGAAACAATGCTTAAGATCATTGTACTTAACTTTACAATCTTTATCACATAACATTCTTGCTAGATGATTACATTCACCTCAGTGTGTGTACTCTAATCTGCATCTTCTGCAATTCCAACTATTTACCAATGAATTGGGCAGCTTAGACATTGCAGTGCCTTGAAAATATGTAAACAAACATTATATATTATATTCTACAGCCAATAGTTATGATAGAAAAAAGCTCATGATTGGATACATACTTTATAAAGCTGATGATCTCTACTTTAATATGTCAAGGTGCATCTCACGTTAACAGTGTTTCATGTGAACAGTATGCCGTATTCCGACCTCTGCTGCTATGAAACCTGGGAATTTTCACCCCTCCATGGTGCTATGCATCCTTGGAATGGGAAAATGGTGAACTGTCATGCGTCTACAATGACATACAGATGAAACCAGGTAAAATGAGATATCACATCACATCCCAGCTTATTTTAACCAGACGCTGAGGAAGTTGAAGTGTCGTCTTCGGCCGTCACGTGCGATTGGGGCATGCAGGATGTCTGTGTCAAACCCCTCGGTGTCACCATCCTCCATCACACCTACTGCCATGCACCTAGCAGAGAGAAAAGTACACATTAGCTCTGACTGATTGTGACCTGTACAAACATCATCAGGCCATGTTGATTTGATAACAAATATGAATTTTCGTCTCTTTCCAAAAGAGTTGTCGACCATACTGTAAATCGTGCGATTAAAAGCAGCTGCTGCAAATATATGCCGTAAATTGCAAAACAATGGAAACAATACTAATGTCCTAAAATTAAAGGCAAAGAAGAAATGAAAATGAAGAGTCTATTATTCGCCGTACCAATTGGTTCAACCTACAATACTCCGCCAACATGAGAGCCGACCTTACCTATCAGAGAAGTCGACTGTGCCGGCCAGGTCGGACGCCAGGCCCGGGAAGGCGGCGCCGTGCTCCGGTCTGGGCAGCACGCCGTACTTGTTCTGATAGCACACGGACTTCTCTCCGTCCCACGATGTCACTACCACGGGGACCAACTTGTCCGCAGACGCCGGAGACTGTGACAAGTATGGCCAGTGTTAGCTCTACACATTATTTTTAATTTTAAAAGGCTAACCCTGGATACAAGGACAACACGCTACATACATAAAGGATAGGATATGACAAAAAAAGCCGAAACTCAAGCAACTGGATATGATTTTGGAAACGGTCAGACGTTTCAGCTAGTATACTAGGATACTAGCTTTCATATCCAGTTGCTTGAGTAACAGCTTTTTGGCATATCGTATTACCTGGATGTCTAACCTTCGTCGACGTATAAAGGATAGGACATTAAAATCAAAGTCGTCAACTCATTACATCCCCAGGAGTATCTATTAAAAATAAACAAAGGCTTAAACTAAGTAGCACAGTTTAAAAAATAACATTTAAAGCTTTGCACATCAAATAGTCGTTTACAGAATGAACTCAGCGCTTGGGACAGAAACCGTGTTGATGTGATGGCGTTCAGCACCAAGGAAAGAGCCTATGTCTCGTGACTGCATTCGTAATACTAGCCTGGTATCCAGCCTTGTTAGCTTTAGTCCGCTACCCAAGATCCGCTCCCCGCCAACCATCCGCGATCCGCTCTTCGCCTTGTTGGCGGGGAGCGGATCTTGGGTAGCGGACTAAAGCTAACAAGGCTGAATACCAGGCTATCGTAATGCATGTAACAGGAGTGCGTTTACTTCGGGACCGTTTTCATCACTAGGTTAGCAACATTTCCTCCAAAATACACCAGTTTGTAGAACCAAAGTAGCCCGCAAGGGTGAGCAATTTAGTCTGGTTGGATGTTGAGAACAAGACCTGGCAATTTTGGCAACACCTCTGGAGCGGAGCCACTAGTATTTCACTGATCATTAGGCTATAGATTGTCGTCGATTTTTCATGTCTTCTTCTTCTCTTTAATGCTCAACACTATGTAATGATGATTCCGGCATGTCAAAGTGCTTTCCAAGTTTGTGCTCTGCTATGCACATAGTGAAGTTAGACTTATAATTCCATAGCCGTGAAAATGAGTATTGTATTGTCTCTTATGTTGGTGGCGACATTGAAAAACTTGAGTGTCACCACGTCTTGTGATTAAATGTTGATGAAATATAAAAAAAAAAAAAGAAGAAACGTACCTGTGCAGGTCGGTTCCACAGGGAGCCTATAGTTCTTCCCTCTGGCAGCTGCCACTTCACCCAGCGGCTGCCGACACCGTGATCATTGTCTCCGTTCGACAACAAAATCTGTGGAAAAGAAGGGAAAGTGATCTTGATCAATTGATGAAGGTTAGACATCCAGGTAATACGATACGCCAAAAAGCAGTTACCCAAGCAACTGGATATGATTTTGGAAACGGTCAGACGTTTCAGCTAGTATTCGCTAGCTTTCGTCAGTGACTGGGAAGTAATCTTGATCCATTGATGAAGGTTAGACATCCAGGTAAACAACAATACTCATAGGAAATTCGAACTATACTACTGGATAAATTACGGAGATAATTTCCGGACGTTTCGAGTGACATCCACCACTCATCACTCTTCTTAGTGACGATCAATCCAGTTTTACCTCACAGAAGAGCTAATTCCCATCGGTCATGACAGAGAAGACAGGCGCTGTGTACAGTATTTACAGATTTATAAATTTCCCTACACCTTTTTGACAAGCACAATGAAGAGTGTACCACAACTTCACGTCCCGTCCTAACCACTGCAACTCTTCAGTGTAGTGTGCATGTCGGGTGTGCGACAATGGCCGGGATTCGAACCCCCAACCTCCCAGTTCTTTGGTAGTTAGGGTTAGTAGTTTGGTAGTCTCCGTTTATTCTTGACATTACAATGTACATATACTTGAAAAAAAAAAAAAAACATAGGTAGGCAGGTTCTTTAATTTACTGAAACGAAAGCGAAGGCATTTGTTTCACCTCATTTGCATGTTCTACTGCCAACACCCGGGCATCCATGCTGGCGTATGTGTCGTCTGCAGCCACTCGCGGGTACCTCAGGTCTCGCGCGTTGTGATTGGCTACGAGCCAGTTGCCATGGAGATCGCCAACCTTCCCGCCAATTTTGCCCACCATGGTCCAACCTCCATGCGTCATATCACAGAACGCCTGCACGGAGTGATTTTCCTTGGTCTTTATCCAATAGAAACCATCTTCAAGCCTAGATGAAAAAATGTCGTTAGAACTTAATAATAATTGTTTATTGATTGATCGATGAGTACAATCGCTAGCATGTGGCAGCGCCACTAAAAAAGTAGCTCTGAATTGCATGCTAGTGTTTAAAAACAGAGAGACAAATGTTGCACAGTTACGAGTAACAAATAGACAACTAAACAAGTGAGTATTTCACAGTTAATATATAGGCAACTAAAAAGTGCGTAAAATGAACTTAACAATATTCACAATATCAACCAATAAGTAATCAATATCATCAGTGTAAAAAATAATAATTTTAAAGTATGTGGCAACTTACTAGCCACTACCAGGCTTCGGGTGCGGCAAACTGTTTTCTAAGCGCGGACCAACTCCCTCAGCATGTTATCTCTCTATTTGGCCGACCTCTACTCTTTCCAGCCGCCTCCCGAAGCCTGGTAGAGGCTAAGATCTTACTCCATTAAAAGCATCTAATGCAATTTCAGGGAGACAAGACAAAAATATTCTGGATGAAGAACTCTGTCTGATATTGACATTTACTGCTATTTCTTAATGTTCACATTGTCGTCATAATTTCATACTTGTAGCATTTGAAATAGCCCAAACAAGCTACGTGAAGCGTCTCTTTATTGGGTATCACCCATAAATAAATCTGGATAATCTTCATAAACGTTCTAATATAATGTTATTCGAAAATATTTTAAATGTTTCCTTACCCCCTCTCGTACCCACGACAGGCGATGTGGATTTCTCTACAGCTGTGCGCAGGGTTGTTCTCGTTCCCAAGTTGTAGGCCAAGGGAGTCGGTGCAACTCACTGCGACGGAAAAAAAAACAGTACACGGAAGTTCATGAAAGTAGCTAGTTCCTGGCTTATTCCAGGGTTTAGCTTGACGCTTTCAAATAATATATTTCAGAAGACATTCCGGCCGTGACAATATTTCTCGTAACGCTTCAAATGTACTGTAGACATATTTGAGATGGATTCATCGCACCAAAACTGCATATATGCGCATTTAAAGAAAGCGCATTGGAAAGGCTAACATTACTACGTACCCAGTTTACCGTCCAAGTAAAAGGACGACGCCAAACACTCGGACGGGGAGTTGCTGATCTCTGTGTTCACTACAAGGGCTTCGAGAAGGTTCTTCACCTGCAGAGAAAGCGAATTAAGGTTTTTTTACATGGACAGAATGTCATTCTGTCTGTCAACCTTCCATTGTGGGGTCGTGTGGCGTAGCGGCAGAGTACTCGACTCGAACCTAGAGGTCCAGGGTTCAAGTCCTGACATGCCACCGATCTTGTGCACTTGGGAAAGGCACTTTACACGAATTTCCTCACTTCGCTCAGCTAGGTGAAAAAGAGTATTGTATTGTCTCCTGTGTTGGTTGCGGCATTAATAAGTTGAAAAAACTTGAGTGTGCCGTCACCACGTCTTGTGATTACATGTTGGAATATATATATATATAAAAAAGAAAGAAAACGTTCACCTCTTCCAGT